GAAATTCTTCATTTAGGACCGGGCATGTCCATCTTTCATTATATGTCTACACTGCAGCTATTTTCACACACTATTGATTTTCAGGTTTTTTCCCCCTCCAATATAAGCAAATGGCTTCTTTCAGTTCTCCATACCTTGAAAATTTTTTCCATGTTTTTACTCACTTTTGAAATCTGAAAACAATATCCTCATCAGATGTGAGATTCCTTGTATGCTTGGCATGTCTGCAGGTACCATGCCGATATGAGTGCTTCCTTGGAAAGCGATCACATCAGTTGCTTGCAGATTCTACCGGCATATCATTCTGAGGTTTCCTCTGAATTCTTTACCATGGCAATGCACTCCGTGATGGCTTCAGGACAGGTTTCTCAGGGACTGGCTTCTCCCACATGAACCTGCCTGCTCTGAGGTCCTTGGCCACCCTGGCTTCTCCAGAAGTCCACAGCCCAGCCCCTTTCCCTCAGTGATGGCTCATTTGGTGGGTTCCTGGCTTTTGCAGCTTTTTTTCCATCTGAAATGGTTGAAAGGCCTCTCCTAAAGCTTGCTGTTGCTGACAGGAGGAGGTTCAAGCTGAAGGGAGCTGCTATTCTGGGGAGCTGGACCATGTCCCTCCTGCAGCTGTCCCTGGCCCTTTTGTCCTTAGTTTTACCCACCCCTGGAATTTGGACCTTGAGCTGGAAATAGGTAGTGTGTCTTCTCCATGGTGGTACCCAGATTTGGAACTCTGTTGCCAGAAAGACTTGCCTGGCTTGTTATCTTTTTGTCACCAGGTGAAACTCTTTCCCCAGGCCTTTTAAATCCCTGGATTTAACCTGAATGGTCACCTTCTTCAGATCTTGCTATTTCATCACAAAATGTCATTAATTTTAACTTCTTATGCTTTGGAGGGAACTCTGGGAATTTGGTGCTGAAGATCAGGGTATTAAATTCTTAAATAACATAATTAGGTGTCTAATACAGCAATGTGGACAGTGAATATTTATGAAGCACATAAAATTGACAGCAAACTGGCACAGTTGTGTGCCACTGAGCCGAATCGTTAATGGTGTATTGTTGCCTGCCAAGTGCCTGAAAAGCCCATTGTTTCTGCAGCCCCAGGCAGACCATAGGAACAAGGGCTGCTGATGGGCATCCATCTTCATCGTCAAACTCCATGTTGGACGTCATTAGAAAAGGAGCTCAACATAAAACTGTCAATATCATAAAGCATTGATGGTGCACCCGGAAAACTGTACCATTCTGGCCTCTGAGCCTCACAACAATATTGTTGTCTTGGAAGAAGTGCAGAAAGGGGCCACTGAAATGATTCAGGGTCTGAAGGGATTCTCCTTTGGGGAACGGCTGCAACACCTGGGACTCTTTATCCCGGAGAAAAGTCTGGCCGGGGTTTTGTCTGGAGCCGATTTGGTTCATACGTGGGGGACAGCCATGTGAGTCCACTTAGCCAGTCTTGCATCTAACCAGCCCATTTTTCTTTACTTCAAAGCCAAGGAAGAAATGATCTGCTAATCTGATACTTCTGCCATAGGATGTCGTTGATCTAATACATAAGGGTAACCCAGGTTCTCATTTTTACACAAAGTGATAGGAGATCCAAGAACTCAGGGTACTGAGAACTGCACAAGATAGACAGAGAGAGAGAACTTTTTCTCATGTGGCATTTATTGTGAGCTTGTCATTCCTTACTCAGCACACTTTGGGGTTCTTTGACAGTCCTGTGACCTCTCAGTTTTGCTTCTGCTTTCAGAAAGTACTTTCAGTGAGCTTTGTAGAGCAGGAAAGTGGTATTATTCAGGAAATACATAGTTCCACCTGCAAATTTGCATTATACCACATGATCTCTTAGTGGAAAAGCAGGAAATGAATGCTTTTCATGTAGTGCTAAGATCTCAGTTCTGCAATGAGGCCCAAAGTAGACAAAGCAGGTTAACAGCCCCCGTAGACAAACCCGAATTGTGGTGATGTTGGAGCAGAACAAATGTTGATTAACAGTAGCAGCAGCAAAGATCTCCCCTCCATCCTAAATTAAGCTGTTAGAGAACCATGGGATGCAACCTATAGGCATTTTTTCCTGTTTAGCAATCTGGGAACAGTTTCAAACAAAGTTTGCACTTTGAAAATTCTGTGTGAAAGTTCTGCTAATATGTAATGCTGGATACTCTGAAAGAAATATGGTGTAATTAAAGGAAGGAAGGAAGGAAGGAAGGAAGGAAGGAAGGAAGGAAGGAAGAGGATTTGAAATCAATCAATCAATAGCACCCAAAATGCAACTTTTTCACAATGACTATATACTTGTTAAGTGTTTTAGTGTAGTAGAACAAACATCATTCACGTTTGTTTCTATGATTGCCAACTGTAGTGCTATGGCTCTGATTTTTGTGATGCATGACAAATCATTTGCCTCTAGGAGGAGCTGTAACCCTTGCATAGCACTAAAATGATTACTAGGTTCATAAGCCCATTATCAAAATATAGTGAATATTCCACCTTTCAGTCATGTCAAAATGTACAGTAAGTGCTGTGGCTGCAGGTCTTTCCTTAATTTCTTTTTTATGTCTTCTTTCTTGTCTTTCTATCATTTTCCCTCATGCAAAGCAGGGCGGTAACAAGCCTGTCTTTTTCACAGAAGCTTTCCCACAGAACCACAAATTCTACAACCCTCTCACACTGGGTATCCAAACTCCCCATGCCAGTTCTTGCCTGTCCGATCAAATGTCCCCAATGAGCGCAAGCAATCTGTATACCTCTTTTGAACTCGCACACACACCACCTTGATCTTTGGGGAGGAAATCCCATGCTTGAATGTTCTATTACAGACAATCATGCCAGGGAAAGCCAAAGGCAGGAGAAGAAAAGGAAGACCCAATATGAGATGCATTTACCCCACTGGGGAAGCCGCAGTCTGAATTCGGGGTTGCTGGGCAGGGCTGCCATGGATAAGACATTTTGGAGGGCTTTCATGCAGGCATTCGCCATGAGTTGGGGATGACTTGATGGCACGTAACAAAAAAGGCATGGAAAAGGGGCAGTCTCTGATATCCTGGAATGTGTTTGCTCAGAAAACAGATGAGGATGCAGTTGCATTTTATGGAAACGTATGCAAGCAAGCGCACATTTTCAAGCAATCATGGAAGCAGTTGTTTTTTTTTTAAGTTACTTATAGGACATGAGAAGCTGAGGTTTCAGTGGAAGTATGATTTTACAGGGGGTTGCAACAGGTTTGCTTGTTCATTTGCCCTTGCCCTCTCTAGGACACATTTTAAAATTATACTTCCAATGAACCTTCAGCTCCTAAAGCCCTATAAGTAACTCTTAAAAACTCCTATCCTGGGAAAGTCTTGATTCTGTGCCGTTTCAGACTTGCTGCTCTCAGCAGCAGAACTTGAGCATAGGTGAAGTATTTGCTTTATTACCTTTATAGCAGAGGTGCAGGAAAGGCAGGCCCTTCATGGATCATTGCCTTGCCGTGGCGAAGGGGCTTGCGTGGCGCAATGAAGCTATGAACTCTGCCACGCAGGGCCACCCAGGACAGACAGGTCATAGCAGGGAGCTCTGACAAAATGTGATCCACTGGAGAAGGAAATGGCAACCCACTCCAGTACCCTTGCCATGAAAAGCCCATGGACAGTATCAACTGTGATTGCTCTTCAGGAGGACAGATCCTGAAGCTGAAGCTCAAATACTTTGGCCAGCTAATGAGAAGGAAGGGCTCACTGGAGAAGAGCCTGATGCTGGGAACGATTGACGGCAAAAGAAGAAGGGGATGGCAGAGGCTGAGGTGGCTAGATGGAGTCACTGAAGCAGTCGGTGTGAACTTGGGTGGACTCCGGGGGATGGTGGAGGACAGGAAGGCATGGAGGAATGTTGTCCATGGGGTCGCGATGGGTCGGGCACGACTTTGCGACAACAAAGGGAAGCCAGGGCTGAAGGGGATGCACCAGTGACTGATGCCATCTGCCTTCCAACACAGACATCCCTTTCCCCCCAAGTAGGGCTGCAGTGCTTCTGGTGGCTGGAGGCTGTTGCAATTCTCTGTGGCAAATGGTAAATGCTCTGCTGCAATGCAGAGACTGGGATCCAAAGTGGCACAGTGGCGAGAAAGTTGGACTGGGAGCAGTGGGACCTTAGCCCCCACTGGCTGACTGGGCCAGTCCCTGACTCTCAGCCTAGCCTACCTCACAGGGTTGTTTGGAAAGTGAAATGGAGAGAAGGACAAGTATTCTATAAACCACCTTGGGGTCCTTGCATGGAAAAGTCAGGATATACATACAATAAAGAAAATAAAAATGGAAGTCTTTGGGAGGCCATTTAGTCCAGAGGGGACAATTAAGACCCATCAGCTACATCAAAGACCTGCTTCTGGTGGAAATGAAAACTGCTACAGCAGGTTTGTCGAAATGGTCCCTCAGGCTGCCTGAATTTCTGGACTCTCCTTGTGGAGGTGGCTATGGGGACTGGTGTCATGAGTACCTGCACTTCCAGCTGCATCACTGATTTGCACTTCACCTTCTTTGAAGATGATTCATGGCACTTTGTGTAGGATTCCCAGGAAGTCTCCTGCTCATACACAGGCAAATGCAGACCCTGCTTAGCCTAACCGGGCAGACCAGGCTGCGCTCCTACCGTTTGCTAGCATGATGGGATGGGGCTAGGCAAATGAAATGGTGGTGTTGCTATCCTAGCCAGCAAGGCAGGTGGCACTGGTACTACAAGAAAGACCATGTAACCTCTCAAATACCGTGAGGAAGGCAGACACACACTGTGGTCTTCAAGGAACTCAGCGATTACTCTGTTTCTGCAGACCCAGCCAGACATCAGAAGTAGGTTTACTGAGCCCATGATTGTCCAGCATCCACATCTGATGCCTCTGACTTGTGGGCCACGTGTCAGGCAGATCTTTTCGGCAATCCCCCCGCCCCCTGCTCCTTCGTAAGCATTGAGCGAGAGTATCCTTCGTTACATTCTATATTCATCTCTCCGCCTCCCATTACTCCACCTAGGGCTCAGTATGATGACACCGCTACCTACACTGCAGTGGCAACAAACGTCCATGGACAGGCCTCGACCAATGCTGCAGTCATTGTGAGAAGTAAGCAAGCTGTGGAAATATGTGGAAGAGAAATGCCTGCAGTGATGCTTAAGGGAAGCGGCTATCACCGCTGTCTGTTGCTTTCTTCCAGGGTACAGAGGGGATGAAGAGCCGTACCCTGTTGGAATTATGTCCAGCCACTGTAAGTTCATGTTGTGATTGGATGAAATCCTTTACACCTGAAGTACTCAGGTGTAAAGAGCTAAGTGTCCTGGGATTGGCATACCTCAGGAGCACCTGTGATGATCCTTAGGGAGGGACCCTCCCTAAGTGTCTGCTCCCACCCCCAAAGTTCTGCAGGGGTTGATAACAGAACCTTCTGAGTCATGGTGCTATGGAACTCCATCTCAAAAGAAGGCCACCAAATGGACAATTATTTTAGGTTCTTCAGGGAAAGACACAACTATGCACTATTTATTGTTTAATGGTTAATTTTTTGGAAGCTGATGCTTCTAATATTTTATGCATTCCTTTGGTATTTCTAAGTTACCACAATCACAGTTTGCAAAAAGGTGCAACGGAATTTCAGAGGATGGTGCTAAGAATCAAAAACCCACAGTTTTATTTCATTAGGATCAACTAAACATGATTTGGTGGTGCTGGCAATGACAATGATGCTCCAAAGACAAGTTAATCTCTGGATGAGAGGAATTGGATGAGATTATCTGGGAGAAAGAGATATTTTTAAAGTGCCTGATCCATGGTGTGCCCATGTTCTCCTGATTGTCCATGCTGATTTCAGCCACCTGAAGAAATGGCTTTGAGTGAGGGCTTGGTCATACCCCTTAGGAACACAATGGACAAGGAAGCCACCTTGTACCAAACCAGACCCTTTATTGTATTGGGTGACAGCAGCTCTGTGGGCTTTGAAGAACTGTCTCTTTCCCAGATCTACTGAGAGATGCCATCAAACCATGGCTCTGCCACTGAGCTAGGACTCTTCATGAGACAAGGAAGGCAAGATGGGTATGAAACGATGGAGAGAAAACATAAAGAGTCTAGTCATAAGATTCTGCATTCACATTTGACGTAAATTTGACATGACCTGGAATAATATAAATTACCGAATTGTACATCATAGTCCTTTGAGCTGATCCAAAGAATGAAAGAGAAAACAGTGCAACTTGAATAATCTACAGAATGGAAACAATCGCTTCAGCAGCATACAAGCCACAGAGAGTCGTTTCAGTTGGAGATGTATGCTAAACTTTCCTGCAGTTGCAAGTGGTGGTGCTGTCCTTGCTCTCCGCTCCTGTGTTTATTTTTGCCCCACAGTCGATGTTGCATAAATGCGTTTTGCAGACTTTTGGAAACTGTGAAGTCCTGCCATCCCCATGGCCAGCATCCAACACTGCCCAAGCACCAGAGGGACCCAGTGCTTGCACAGTTCTGGATGTAACACTTTGGATGGGAGCCAGAGATATGCAGGAGTGCTCAGTTCCGGTATGGGGGCAGGTTAGCAGAGCTTGCTCAGTGGAGCTCCACCAGCAAGTCCTTCTCCGGAAACGAGCATTTGGGGCCACACTTTATGAAGTGCTCAACCTGTATGCGGGTCCTGCTTGCATATTGGAATCAGCGGGAACACGGCAACTCTGTTGTGTAAATCCAGAGTGTGGGATCCATCGCAAGCACTGATGCCCTTAGCATGTTACCTGCAACTCTCTGGAAGTAAAAAAACAAACTCTAAGTTAGTGTCTGTGTCGTCACTGTTTCATCATGCAGCATCTCCATAATAACATGCCTATGACGGTCCTTCATGCCAGCTTCATTCTTGCTTTGCACACAGTGCCTCTGCCGCTGGACGTGTGCTTCACCCACTTTGATGTTCAGTTTTTGGAAAGGTTCGGTGTCACCTTTGGTGTGGAAGGAGAAACACTCACCCTCCAATGTGGTCTTCTGATCACCCCAGAGTTGAGGCGTCTTCAGCCTCGTGCTGAGTGGTACAGAGACGGTAAGTTTTCATGTCTTCAGTAGAAGTGTGTGGCTATTCTTTAATTTGTTTAAGATTTTTCAAGAGGCCTGCATCAGTATCTGTTGGAAGGCCACTCTACAAGCAGAGCCCTCACCTTCCCATGGGCAAAAGACCTGTAAACAGTGACTGTTGTTTTCATGGCCTCTGCATTCCATTAGTAATAGCGATAGGTGAAATTACTCTGAGTGAATTTGTTACTTCCTTGGAAAGTAACACATTTACCCACATTAGCTCAGATGAGAGTTCTCCTTTCATATGAGGATTTGCAGCTGTGCATGACCAAAAGTGCATCTTGAAAGTTGAAAGAGCTGCCAGGTTATTAATGAAGGCAGGCAGATACTCCCATATCACACCGGTCCTATATCATCTACACTGGCTCCCAATTGAAGTCCAGGCCCAATTTAAGGTGCTGGTAATGACCCATAAGGCCCTAAATGGTTTGGGTCCTGGATACCCGAAGGAGCACCTCCTTCCCTATGTGCCTGCCTGCCCCTTGAGATCTGAGGCAGAGGCCCTTCTCCAGGAGCCTTCAAAATAATGAGGGTAGTTACTTGGAGAAGGGCCTTTTCAGTGGTGGCGCCCCAACTGTGGAACACACTCCCCAGGGAGGTTTGCTTGGTGCTGTTGCTTTATTCTTTTCGGTGTCATGCAAAGACCTTTTTCTTTTCCTAATATTTTAACAGTGAATGGATTTTATCTTTGATTTTATTATTATGGATCGGATGCAGTGTGTTGTTTGTTGTATGTGGATGTTTCGTTTCTTGTTTTTTTGTAAGCCATCCATAGACTTTTAAGATTGGGCGGCATACAAAAACCTTTAAATTAATTAAATGAATAAAGTGGCCGCTGGAATTGCGCAGTGTGGCTGGACATGCTGCCCCATCCCACACCGTGTGCCTCCCTCCGGATCGGTTGTTTGCACGTGGCCTGCTGGTGCGATGCTACATGGACTCTCCCTTGCCAGTTTCTGCAAATGGAGAAGAGAAGGAGATAGACGTGCAGTGCCAGTGCTGCGGCAGTGGTGACGCCCAGACAGAGAGAGACACACTGGATTGCTCAAGAGTTCAAGCAGCCAGCTCAGACAATGCACGGAGGCAGCATTGTCTGAATGCAGACTGCGCTTGTGTTGAAACCTGCAGTTGCTTGCAGACTACGTAGTCCATCCAGAATACATTGACACGGGGTCACTAGAAAGGGACACGTTATGAACCAAAGAGTTTCAGCCAGTGAGCTGACTATTGGCAGCATAGCTATTTGTTAATATTCAACTCTAAGGCCAAGCGGGAGGGGCATTTTTAGTAATGAGACCACCCGTGGACGGAACATGATGCTGTTTTCTACAAGTACCCATTTTAGCATAATCAGTATAGACAAGACGGTTTCTTTTTCCTTAGGTACTGAAATAATATATTTTTCTTCACCCCTTTCTCTGAATTAATTATATGAATGATAAGCTGCTGAGGCGGACTTCTGTGGTTTATTTCTGCTAATTAGACCCAGGGGAATGCTGTGCTTGCTTCAAATTACTATAGTTTAAAGTATTTATTGGCTATTAAGCTCTGGGGGACATCGTACCTGTTAAAGTCAGATCCCACGGTGCCTTTCACAACACAGGGTGGAGGTATAAAGAAACACATGTCAGGTCTTTGCTGCAGAATAAAATGTTGGGAATCCCATTCCCAAATAATTGGGAAGGGCCCTGATCCAACTGTACCAGCAGTTAGACAGCTGACAGTCATGAAGACCAGCTCTTGACTGGGTGAGGAGAACAGGAAACAGAACCCTAAAACACCTTTCCCCTGCACTCCCCAAAACAACCTGAGCTGATGGGGTGGGGTTACACTTAGCCTGGCAGCTGGACTGGGTTCAAGAAGCATGCATAACACATATGCATGCCCAGACAGTGAAATATTCAAAAGTGCTATGCATAGATCACTCCCAAGTTTTGTAAACAGTGCACCTTTAAAGGCTACTTGGAAACTTCAGTTGATGCAAAATGAGGGCTGGCATAGAGAACATAATCTTCCAGTCTTAAGGCAGCTCCTTTAGCTCTTGAGCCATTTCCAGGCACAATTCATAAGTGCTGGTTTGCACCATTAAAGCCCTAACCTAGCCCTACATTTAACAACTCACCTGGTAGCCACGGGTGACTAGGGATGAAATGCAGATGGCTGCATGGAATCTCATGCAAGTCAATGAGGGGGCTGGCAGAGGAGGGGTGGGTCTTTCTGCACCATCTCTGTCAAGCAGGCCAACCTGCTTCATTTCTGGGTTTCCTTTGTGACAGAGGTGGCAGGCTGGCAGAGGAGGAGTTCATCAGCCAGTCTTTCCTCTTCCAATCTCTCTGGTAGGAGACCATTATATTTTTACTGGTCTGCCAAGAAACTAGTACTTGTGTTTGCAACCTTGCAGTATATGAATCCAGGCCACTAGCTTTACTGGCCTCTTCTTAGGTTAGATGAGGATGATGGATTATTTTGCAGGCTAGGGTCTTCTGGGGGGTTATTTCCCTAAGTGGCTTTGAAGCAAGGGACTTAAGGACCCCGTTTTCTCCAGCTGAACCTGCCTAGATTATCCTCAGACTTATTTCCTTGGGTTCTCCACAACTTTTGGAGATGAAGCAGGGGTGATCTGAGATAGGGCCTTCTGATTTGTGGTTCCCTGACTCTGGAAAACTGTTCCCAATGAATCCTGGTGCAGAGGGAAGACCATTTTACTTAGCCAGGTTGTCTGGATTTTAAAACATGTTTTTGTTTGTGTTTTAACCCGGCTATCTACTTTGGGTATATATTGGACTTCTTCACTTGTTTAGATGGTATGTTTTCTTATTGTTGTTTTAGTCTGCTTTTCATGATCACTAGGTGTTTTGGGAGCCTTCAGGGTAATAAGACATTTTCTAAATAAGGGAGATGAATGGGAACATACTTCAGTACATGTCAATTCCTTGATAGGGTCATTCCAAGAACATAAATATTTGCATTCCATTGGAGAGCATCGATGCCAGTGCATCTTCAGTTATAAAATATCCTGAAAAAGTCAGGTGTAAAGGGTGCAGATCCAGACATGCACTTTCACTAAGAGAAGGGCTCCTTTCATTTGGAGAAATGTCTGAGATCTGGTGGTGGCTCCCATTGGAGGGAGGCGGGAGTTTGGGGTGCATTTTTCTTGCTTTCTGAAGCACCCCTTTCCCTTGTATCACCTCCTGCATTGTTCCAGAGAATTTGTCTAACTTGAGGGCAGACTCTTTGGATAATAATAAATGAACAGGGACACAGTGGCTCAGTGGGTAAGAAGCTGAGCTTGTCGACCAGAAGGTCAGCAGTTCAAATCCCTAGTGCCACCTAGCGGAGTGATCCCCCTTTGCTCCGTCCCAGCTCCTGCCAACCTTGCAGTTTGAAAGCATGCAAATGCGAGTAGATAGAAAGGTACCACTTCGGTGGGCAGGTCACAGCGTTCCGTGCACTTCGGTGTTGAGTCACGCCAGCCGCATGACCACGGAGACTGTCTGCGGACAAACGCTGGCTCCCTCAGCTAGGAAACGGAGATGAGCACCGCCCCCTGGAGTCAGGCATGACTGGACTTTAATGTCCTGGGGAAACCTTTACCTTTAAAAAGTCAACATTTTTATTGATTGATTTTAAAGTCAAGTCTCAGGAGGGAATACCTTCCTAAGGAAGGGTACAACACTGAAACACAATGGAGAACAATAAAATGACAGTTCAGCTCAGATGCTGCCATGTATGCAATGGCATCCAATAAACTCTTGAGTCAGTTACAGACCAAGGCAAACGGAGTTGTCTTTAAGGCCCACCTGAAAGAAAGGTGAGTATCAATCGAGTTCCGCGAGGGGTGGGGATGTCAGGAGCTGTGGGATCCTACCCACGGGGAGTCTGGATTAAGTCGTGCAAGACGTCTGTGGACACAGGCTTGCATTATCTGTCAGTGAGGATGTTGGTAAAAATCCCCCTGCGCTTGTCATTTGCCATGGATTCTTGTGGCACCAGCTCAGCAGCTGAAGGAACTGAGTAGCTCTGTCCGCAAGTTTTCCAACCTCCACTGCCAAGACTGCTTATTTTGTTGTGGCAAAATCAAATAGCCTTTTCATTTAAGTAGCTAAGAAAGAGTTCCAGGCAAAGGACAAAGAAATAATCAGTCTAATCAAATATTAGCTCTTCAAATGGTTCTCACCATATGACAAGTTTGCTAATGCACGGGGAGCCTAAAGGAAGAAGTAACCTCACAAACTCTCAAGTTAGCCAAATGGATGAGGCAGGATCCCTCCATGTTCTGAATTAGTGGATTAGTTTCTATTGTGCGCTAATAAGATCCTAAGCAAAACAGAACTGGTTGGAATCACTGTTCCCCCCACACTCCCAAAACCCCTAGTATTACTTAAAAATAAATAAATAAAGGATGACAGATGATTAAACTGAAGGATCAAACCAACGGATCAAAATGGAAAGATATGGAAGGCCTCTGTCTGTAGCCTTTCAGTGTGAAGCCTGGGTCAGAGGAGGTGAAGATGCCTTCCTTGGTGGTCATTTCCAAGCCAGCAGGAGAACCAAAGTACTGGCCATCTTCAGGATAAAGCCTGCTTCCAGATAAAGCTTTGACAGTGCAACCAGCTTGCCTCAAGCACAGAACGTTAGAGGCATGAGCGTGCAGGTCCAGAATCATCTCTATTCGCAACCCTCCATCTTTCTTCCTGTTAAACAGGGAAAGGTGGAAAAGCTGAATGATATCTTTCGACTGGCACTGCTAGAAGCTTTCTGTGCTTGGGACTCTGAATAATCCGTTGGTCTCTAAGATGATGTTGGGAAGCCAACCTATTAGACCCATCATCATCATCATCACTTTTGTAGTAGTAGTATTAGTAGTACTTGAATATTCAGAGGTAAGCTCAGGGGACCTGATCTGGATCAGCAACCCAGCCTGCGGTGGGGGTGGAGGTGGTTAGGGAGGTTAACCCTTTGCAAACCACTGTGGACTGGGTACTCCATGTCTGCTGTTTACATTTCCAAAAAGTGAATCCCTGGAACAAAAATTCTGCAGTCTAGTTTTGATAGATTCCTCCAGGAGTCTGTCTGCAAGCTCCTAGGATATTGAAAGTGCCCATCTGGGCTTCCCGTTCTTGTTCAATATTCTTCTTGTTGCTGGAACTTATACTGAGGTGGCCTCAACATATGGCTACCAGGATATCATTTTACACCATTAATATTTCCGTCGCCCAGCTAAAAGTGGGTTCAAACATTGTTTCAACTTCCATAAGGCAACTCATGGAGACTGTTCAGCCAGAGAAGAGGTTGTTATTGGAATACAACAGAGGGGAATAGCCACAGAAAACTCTCACAGAGGCAGAAGGCATAGCTCTCCTTATTATAGGTAGCAATTTGAAGACAGTTCCCAATGAAGGAGCCACAATTGGTATTTCTTACCTTCTTTGAACAACACACCTTGAAGTTCAAACAAGTGGACATATCAACTCCACTATGGAAAATGGAACGAGTGGCCTGATTTTCTAGTGCAGTAAAAATACTTAACTCATATTAAATGACAGTCTTTTTTAAAAAAAAACCAAAGATCGTTAATATGCATTTGCAGCGCTTGAGCAAAAGCATGGCTATTATTTCATCTCCTTCCTCAGTGCTGCCATTCACTTGGCAGCAATCATTCCATCAAGTGCCAGCAGGAGGGGGCAGAGGAAGGGCAGAGCCCTTTGCTTTGCTGCAAGACCAGCTCCATCCACTCCATCTGACTCCTCGTGTCCCTGGACTGCTCGCATTGCAGTCAGTCATTAGAAGAGCCAGTATGTGACAAGAATGTGCACCTCACTTTGCCTTTTATCTCTTCCCTTCTCATCCCTTCTCCCTTTTGAGTCTGGTTTTTAGACTGAAAGCCTGCAGGCAGGGACTGTCATGTTTTATCAATACTATGAAAACTGCTCTGGGAGCCGTTTTGATGGATGAACAGGATACAACTGCTCTAAACAAAGAAACAGAAACTAGAGCAAAACAGACAGGAAATATCGGAAACTGCCGCATGCCAGATCAGTTCCCTGTAGCCCAGCATTGTCTGCTGTCACTGGTAGCTCCTTTCCAGGGCCTCAGGCATAACTTTTGCCATCACCTGCAGCCTCACCCTTCCAGCTGGAGATTGTGAGACTGGACCTAAGACCATCTGTATGAGAAGCAAAGCAGTGAGCTGTGGTCCTTACCAATATGTAGATGAGTTTATGATTCATAGATGAGGTACAGGGAGAGTCCTTTCATAAGAATAAACACAGAGATAAGTATGAAAGACCAGATAACTGAGTCTACCCCACAGGTTGTACGGGTAAATAGCTATTCCTTAGCACTTGCTATCTGAAAATGTGGCACATATGTCAGTCATGAGTTCTTGCTTATCTGGTATATATAGCCACTGTTCAAAATTCCTGCCTATGATTTTTGGACTATGGGTTTATTTGGTGTATATGTTCACTGTTCAATATGCCTGCCTATGGCTATATTGAGTATTAATATTACTACTACTACTTTACATTTCTATACTGCCCACAGGCAAAGTTCCCTGGGTGGTTCACAACATTTTAAATCACCCATCCAGATTTCAGCCAGGCTGGATCCTGCTTAGCTTCCAAGATTAGATAGGATCAGGCACTTCAGGCTATATGGATGCTATTAACCAGTATATGTAGTCACTGTGCCAGGTTTATATGGCTTTTTGGAGCCCTTGATTATCTGGTATATTCAGTCACTGTTCAAAATGCCAAGCCTACAACTTTTAAAACAAGGCTGCATTGATTTGAGTATATCTGTATAAAACAGCATATCCGTATGAAACAATTATCAGGAAGTGACCCCACATCTGCAAAAGCAACCAATCCATTATTAAACTAATAAGTAGAAATAAGAATAGGTAGAAACTTCTTTGGCCAAGACAGAATATTCTACACATTTCATCGCTTCAATTGCACCAGTCATTCAGACTAATTTACCTTAATCCTGAGGTGCAACCTCTCACCTGTGGGAAATTCAAACTTAATTTGGTTCAGTGCTCAGCAGGAATGCCCAAAAGATTTTAAATTAAGTATGTATTTATAGCAGACTTCAGATTAAACTGAAATCTGGCCTTAAGTCATTTTCCCCCTTCCAGTTTAATCTGACACATGCCTTGAATAGAAACGTTTATTTAAAAGGATCAAAAGTGCATAGAGTGATAATGCCTGATTAGGAAAGCAATTCAGCTGAAGTTAAGCATATTTAAATCCCATTGAGTTCAGTGGGAGAGCAAAGTCTGCACTTCACTCACTGCTGTTGTAATCAATAGGACTTAAACATACTTGACTTTGGCTGGATTGCACTCCTGATTAGACTTCCATGACATCACTTCAAAAGAGTTGGTATTATTTTGGGGGGTTCCAGGTGAGTTCGTTTGTTAAAAATGGCAGTTGCAAAATACCCTGTCATTTGGATTCCATGAGATGGTGTGGAATTGTCCAGAAATAGGCCACATCCATTTTTATATAATCAGCGGTGGCATACATTTGATGATTTTGTAGGACTTACACTTTCTGCTGCATACAGTTGCCCTAAAATGCTCTTTCAATTATCCAGCTGGGGCACAACCTGTCCTGGGTCAGTCATGACTGCTTAATTTGACAATATATGCTTAATCACAACTCTCTTCCAGATGTGCTAATAAAAGAATCCAGGTGGACAAAGCTATTCTTTGGAGAAGGCCAGGCATCCCTGTCTTTCACTCACCTGAACAAGGATGATGAAGGCTTATATACCTTGCGAATAATTTCAAAAGGGGGAGTGAATGAATACAGTGCATACCTGTTTGTGAGAGGTACGCCCTTTTTCCCAATCATGGGCTGCTTCTGCTTTGTTCTCCATGTCTGGTCATTAGGACAGAGGGCCAAAAATAGGTCTCAGTACTCTGCCTTCAGCTCATGCTAATTCTCTTGGAGGCACTTGCTTTCAGAGATTATGGTACCTTTTGCTGAATGTCATCCAGCGAATGCATGAAGAACTTTCATGTTCATGTCATGGTGTTCTCACATACCAGGGAATTTAGCCCTATTATGTAAAGAAGAAAAACAGATCTGACTATTTTCCCCCTTTAAAGATGAAAGGAGATGAATGCACCATGATAGAATGAAGGCCACAGTTTGACCTCACATTTGCAGTTATGGTTCCCCTTGCAGGTCAGAATGCTGTGACATGAGCCCTTATGGAACTCAACTTTACACTTTTCTTTTACATAGAAACATATAGGGAAATCGTGAGTCAGAAGGGGTCTCCTGGGTCATCTAGTCTGACCCCTGGCTCCAGCTGGCTCCACTCATGTAATTCCCAACATGTGGTTATCCAACTGTATTTTTTTTTTCCAACTGAACACTTTTCTATATGTGCTGCCTTTTAGATGTTCTTAAATTCTTTAGATTGAATTCTTGACCTCCTCTACTGTAAGCACCATGACTGCACTGAACTATACTCTGCAATGCATGGGCTCTGACAACTTATTTATTTGCAACCAAGCCATAACTGATTTCAGTAGTCTAGTCCCATGCAAGAATATTCAGGATTACTTCCTCCAAAGTACAGTGGTTTGTGCATGCAAACCTTCTCTTTTGTACCACTTAGGACACTCCTCCATTTAGTTCAATTGAAACTCAAAATGAAGTATGGTGGGCTGGGTTTGCCATGTTTACATTGTCAGGTGAATGATGGCCCAAGTGCAATTTAATTCAGACTTTTCCTTGGCTTTTAGATGCTGATGCTCTGGTAATGGGTGCACCAGGAGCACCAATGGATGTGAAATGCTATGATGCTAACAGAGATTATGTTATTGTTACTTGGAAACCACCAAATACAACCCACGAAGCTCCAGTGATTGGATATTTTGTGGACAGGTATGTGTCTGGTGGGGAAAGTATTCATTTGTTTTGTCTGTCAAATCTAGGATAGATGCTTAAGGGAATAGAACTTTTTGAACCAGAATGATTATACTGGTTTCCCCCTCTGCAGTGGCTAAGATAAAATATGAGATGGATTAAGTCCATAAAGGAAGCCACAGCCGTGAATTTACCAGAGCCTAACAGGCCTGTCATGGAGAAGACATTCTGAAGGGTCTTCATACATAGGCTCACCATAGGATGGAGATGACTTGGTGGCACGTAACAATAACAAGGAGAATTATTGCAATATCAGTCCCATCATAAATTGATTAGTATGAAATGTTGGAAATACTTTCTCTCTTTCAAGTGTTTCCATAATGCTTCAAACCAGGTGTGAAGTGGGTACTGAAAACTGGATCCAGTGCAACGATGCTCCTGTAAAAATCTGCAAATACCCAGTGACGGGATTGTTTGAAGGGCGTTCCTACACATTCCGCGTGAGGGCAGTCAACCAGGCTGGCATCAGCAGGCCGTCGAGAATGTCTGAGGCGGTGGCAGCCCTTGATCCTGTTGACCTGGAGAGGTTGCAAAGTAAGTCAGATGGGATTTAAGTTAAGGGGGCTCTTCTGGATTTACTGAAGCTGCAGTTGGAAGCCCACCTACCGCTGAGTAAAGACCAGCCTGAATGTCTGGGTCAGTCACAGATTCTGTGCCCAACCTGTCTCACAGAGTAGTTGTTGTGAGGATAAGATGGAGAGGAGGAGGAGAATTGTATAAGCTGCCTTGAGTTCCTTGGAAGGAAAAAGGGATACAAACAGATGCAGAATGTTATGTTAAAGAGAAGGCATCCGGCTGCCCTTCTACATTTTAGAAGCAAGCATGCCATACTCTGGTCTGGGTTGGGACCACCATGTTCAAAGTAGGCAGTTGAAAAATAAGACAGTTGGCATTAATTGGGGTGCGTTTCCTGTTTTACACCACTCTGCAGAGAAGAGGGAAAAGGTGAGGGAAGAGGGAAGCTCTCCGTGGAGGGAACCTCCCCATTTAATGAGGCAGTCCCAGTTCAGACCAGGGCCATCACTTATTTGCCAGGAAAGTAAGCACATTTAGTGTCATATGCAGTTTGACATTAACCTCCTTGAAATCATTCTGAGTAAACATTGATCGAATTGAACTCCACCATTTGGAAGGACCATTTTGTTCCTTTAAAGCAGAAAGACAAAGGGGCAGCTATCGCTATCTTTGCTTTCTTGTTTGTGATGCTGCCTTTGCTTGCTGATGATAATTCAAAGGAACACAGGCCTTGTGATGTCGCGTAGCCTTGATGTATTTGCGTTTCTTGCAGTTGCAATTAAAAGTTAAAGGTTGCAATCAAATGAGCTCTTCTCAATTGTGTTTGAGAGCCTGCTTGTCCGTGTTTTTTAGTTATTATTTCTACAGCATAGTCCTCTGTTCAGACATGACACAGAAAATGTATGGCAGAGTAGCCTTGTACAGCCAGCATGGATGCTTTTGACTGAGTTCCTCACTTTCTTTAGAAAGGGTGACCGCAGTTGACTGTGTTCAAGTAACACAGGGTGTGCCATATAAAGAATCAAGCCACCTCATGTGCCATTTTTCTTGGGAGAATGACAGGGTATAAAATAAATAAATGCACAAATAAACAGAGCTTGTCTTGATCTTCAGCTATTCACCTGGACGGAGGCAGGCAAATTGTACTCTATGAAGATGACCTTGAAGGTATGTTAGTCATCTGTAATTTTGTGCCCATGTGTCTGCACTGGTGTTCCTCCCTTGCAGCTTTCCCTGTTCCTGGCTGCTTTTCTTCTGTTTGTTCTGCCTATATATGCTTGTTCCCTATGACTTCTTAATGCACAGATGCATATGTACATGTATGCAGACAAGGGGCTTCCAGGGGAAGAAGGCCTGGGGAATCAAGGTTAAGGCTCCTGTGAAATTGCAGTAAGTTTATCTTTCTCTGCTATGGGTGCCATTGCTGCCCTGTCAGGGTATGCCAGTAACGTTGCTTCAACGGCCATGCTTTTTCCCAGGGTATTGTGGGAACTGTAGTTTGTTGATGTGCTCAGAGATTTCTCCCTTTCCAAAGAACTACAAATCCAGGATGTTGGAAAAGTCAGAGGTGTCAGTGTGTGTCCATGCAGCTTCAGGGTCTGTGGTGATGCAGCTACATCATTTTAGATCCTGGACCGGATGGCCTGCTGGGGAGCCCTTTTGGACAGCCTAGAGTACTACTTAAGTTGCGAAGCATAGAACTGATACTCTTTCCCCCATCCCAAGTGCCACTTCATGGATGCTTCTGAAAATAGTTGCCCTGAGGTGGCTCTCCTTTCTCACCCTAACATATCCAGTGATGCAGAATATGTAACATCATGCCTTGGATTTCCCCTCCTTCACCCCCTTCCATTGCTGCTGCTGGCAAAGATGTCATTCACTTCAGCATTACGAGATGTTATGGTGAAAAAACAAGGCCGGGTTTTGGGATTGTTGTTATTCTGGGTATTGCTTACTCATTCAAAACAGCTCAGGCAAATTAAACCAGTGCAGAAAGAAACTAAGATCCCCACTGCCCCTCGAGCATTCTAGCTGTAAGATCCAGGGTCATGGCTTTGGGGGAATTCAGGAGCCAAGGTGATGAAATGAAGTGCCGCACGTCAGATTGGTTCTCATTGTCATTGCAGGGACAGACGATAAGGTGTTCCCCCATGAGTCTTTTCTCTCCATGCATTACCTGTACTGCGTTATACTTGGCTGCCATGTTCCTTCATGCAAATTCATCTCTTTGCTCATTTTTCAGGCGAGGAAGCTCTAGGGCTCCTGCCTTTGATCTATGCTGTCCCCCTTTTGCATAAAGCAGGAAGACTTTATCAAGCCATTTAGAACAGCAGATTAAAGCAATTCAAATGGGATCAAAGCAAAACAAAAATCTTGTGAGACGAACACACATAGATTTCCCTCCCCTACCGAACATTTTATATTAGCTGTGAAAAATCAATGCTTTACTTTTAATTGGCTTGCTTGGCTTTCTCAAAATAGAAATGAAGCAACCTCCATAAACTGTAAAGATAATATTATAGCCCTTAATAGCAAAGCAATGCACTCTAGCAAGAAACTTTAGAAAGACAAACTCTCGCATAAGCGCTGACCTGGGAGGTTAATCTGGCATTTAACACTTACTGAGTTTATTATTCCTCTAGGCGACGTTAAGATTCCAGGACCTCCCACCAATGTACATGCTTCAGAAACCAGCAAAACATATGTTGTACTCAGCTGGGATCCACCTGTTCCCCGTGGCAAAGAGCCATTATCATATTTCATTGAGAAGGTACCGTGCCATAGAGTTGCATTCAGCTGTAAGGCATTTCATGGCCACCTACCATTCCATTTAAAACTATTTTCTCAGCAGCCACAAGCAAAACAATAACATTAGAAAATACAAGCTAGGCGATGACATCCTAGCAAAAGGCTACAGAGATGGAATGTTTTGTCGCATGTATTTAAATGGGTGTCAAAAGATGAGACATGGGAAATAAAGGGCTTTTTCAGTGCTTGGCTCAGCTCAGAGCTTGTATGCCAGTGGCCACTTGAACTTTTCTACCCTATTTGCAGGGAGAGAAATTGGAGAGACATTTTGACTGAATTTCTCCAAGAGTAGGAGAAGTTCTCTTTAATGCTTTTTTACTGGGTGGGACTTGCCAGTGTCTGTGCCCACCCCTTGCCCAAGTTTTGCGAACTGCCTGATTATTTCTGCAAGATAAGAATGAGGCAGTTGTGCTGTGGGCTTTTGCAGAGAAGCTGCTGTTTCAGCTTCCCTGCTACGGAGAGATTGCAAGGTATGGAACTGTCTTGAATGGCAGGGATCCCAGAGTACCTCCTAAGGCGTCCTTGTCTTGGTGTCATTCGTGTTCCCTTCCCTGCTGGCTAATGTATGAGGCAGCGTGTTGGGACAGCCTCGGTCTTTAGCCACATGGTGATGCCTTTTGGATTGTTCATGCTGGCAGGCGCAGAAGGAAGAGGAGCCATAACTCCACAATACTGTGTGCAACAGGAAAAGTCAGTGTATGTGCCTAAGGCTGCAATCCATTACAGCAAGAGTTGTCCAGATGTATCTCCAGATGTTTTGGCCCATTCCCCCTGTAATCCTTCGTTGTTGGAGAGATCAGCTGGGGCTGTTCAGAGCTGTTGAGGTCACATGCTTGAGACTGCACCAGAATGAAGCTGCTTATTCTCAGGACCCAAAGGGGGCAGCAGCCAGTGCTTGGACAGTGCTTGTGTAAACCACAGTGTCACGAGCAACTGCTGGCAAAGAGGGAAAGTGGCAAAGCTCTACTGCAGGTTGCTTCTCTTTTCCTTTCTCTAGCAAGTGCTAATGATGTTGCACTAGCACTGTTGCATTATGCTAGTGCAATGTCATTAGCACTAGCACTGTGACAATCTTGGATGCAGCCAAAGGTAGTAAAATAAAACTTGTATCAAGGCTAGGCAATGCTCACAATGCTCACATTCATTTCCAAATTGCTCTAAAACATTTTCAGGGTTTTGGAAAGGGAATATCCCAGCCTGAGAAGCATCTGTTTCAAGAATCTTTACAAACAATCCCTTTGCTTTTCTATTATTAGAGTCAAGTTTCACAGAGACTAACTACTGCAAGGTGAGAGAGAGAAAAGCGTTATCCTGGATTTGGCAGTGAGAAGCCATGCTTAGTGATTGCATACTAGCCAAATAGCTGGCAGCTTATTATCTGGAAACAATGTGGATTTGTGGCTGTGGGTCATTATTTCAGGTATTTTGTGGACCCCTGTCTATGGCTCTCTCGCAAAATAGCCATAATCTTTCTCCATTTGTCGTAGTCCATTGTTGGCAGTGGTGTCTGGCAGAGAGTCAACGCTCAAGTGGCAGTGAGATCCCCTCGCTATGCAGTGTTTGATCTTGCCGAAGGGAAATCATACGTGTTCCGGGTTTTGTCAGCAAACAAGCATGGGATCAGCGACCCTTCTGAAATAACAGCTCCCATTCAAGCACAAGAGGCCATTGGTGAGGAAGAATTCCATTCTGAACAACACATGCTGTCACAGAACGAACGATACTGGGAAGTAGGAAAAGTTGGCAACAACTGAAATGATGCACAAGACTGGGAAACAGATAAAGGATGGTTGCAGTGCTATGAAGGATCTGGGCATTCTGCTGAAGTCCATACTAATGTTCATGAGCCTAATATTTCCTAGCAACTAGAATTCATTCCTCTGAGGAGACACACGCTGGGATTCCGACTTCCATCTTGCAGCAGTAGCCTGCACACCTCATTTAGATGAGTTATAAGATGCTGGATTAATTTAATTCACAGTTATAATTAGCATTTCTAAACTATTGTTTTGGTGCATCTGTCTAGAGAACTGATATAATATCACTGTAATGTCAATGCAATGCCATGGGACAAAATGTGAGTCTTGGTATAATGTAGTTGGATAAGACTCTGCCACAGCTGAGCTCTGTCAGGGTTTCAGTGGGATAAATGAGCATCCATTTTCTGATGAAAAAACACCCCTTGGCTCAGTGTGGAACTCGAGGAAACGCTCTATATTGAGAATTGTTGGGTAGATCTCTTTTTTTCTGGGATGCCTCCACACTGACACAATTCCACCTGGGAACTGTGCAGCTGCCATGGTGGCAACAGTGTTGCACTTAGACTGGGGCAGCAATTGCCTTAGTGTGGTTCCTTCACTTTCCTCCTGGTCCTTCCCTTGTGTTTGTGAGCCTGGTGCCAGTGAGTGACAGGGAGGAATTTTATAAGGTCTTCTCCCACCCCCACCCCAAGGTCAGGCTTGTGAATTTCTTGAAAGGTCACATTTACATACCTGACTCTTTTTCAAATGCACAAATCCCTGATTGCTCAGGAGCCAAGATCTGGTCTTGCCGGTTTTAAATAGTTGTAATTTAAAACAGCAATCAAAGGTGGTTCTACTGAGCAGGGGAGGGGGAGAATTTTCCAACAGTGGCTTCCAGCTTTGATTACCAAGTCAGATGAATGAAGACCGCCCAGGCACAAAATCAGCACACAAGCTTGCAACGGTCTCATTTTGCATTCTGATGACAGCATGTCCTCTGGAGCAAGGGAGCTCTACGCAGAGTATTTTCAGGCATTAGGAGCAAAAACCATCCTGGAATTGTTACTTCCAAACTTCAGTGCTGCCAGACTTTCCATTTGAACTGGAATGTCCCAAGGCATGGCTCCACTGCATTGCCATATCTTGGCTGTGTATTCAGTTGCCCATAGAAGTGATCTTAGACTTGGAGAGTGTGCTGGTTATATGTTGACATGTAAATTGCTGCAAATGGAGTAAATACTCTTCTCTGTGCCACAGTTGTTCCATCTGCCCCAGGACGTGTGGTGGCATCCAGAAACACAAGGAGCTCTGTCATTGTACAGTGGGACAAACCAAAGCATGAAGAAGATCTCTTTGGCTACTATGTTGATTATTCTGTGGTGGGATCGAATCACTGGGAACCCTGTAACCATAAGCCTGTTAAGCACAACAGGTAAAAGAAATTAAGTTTATTATTCTTTATTTCTTTAAAGCAACATCTGCCCTTTCATGCACTTTCAGAAGGAAAAATGCATTTCATAAAGTCCTCTTTGCAAGCATTGTCCAGAGTCTGAACTTCTTGGCTGCATTGTAGGTACCATTCAGCTACCTTCAGAACATTATCTGGGCTCAAGTCTCTGTACAATTAATCAAAATGCCCATTATTTATGCTATGGGTACATCTTCCGTAACTGTTTTGGAGTGAAATATTGCTAGAATTGTCTTAAATGGTGCTATAACTTCATTCCCAGACTATTGTGTTGAAGTCTAAGGTCTGATGTGTATGTCATCCAGGCTGCCTCCCCTGTAAGAGGGAGCAGTGATCCTGAGTAATCCTGTGATCCTGACCACAGTTTTACAATTGCATTGCGGGTAACATCTGGCCTTATTACATGGCTTCCAATTTGCTACAAGTCCGAGAACACATAAGCACATCCCACTGATTTCCTGCCATGTAGGGCATCTATGTAAGCAGTGCATCTCCTGCAAGAGAGAATGAAATTAATCCTTAGATGTATTTTGTCACATTTTTATTCTTCTTTATCACATGAGTAGAAATAACAGGAACAATGGAATATACAATTTGTCCAGTTCACACATCTCTGAGTCTAAGTTGCAAGCCAGCTGAGCATCCTGTAAAGACCCCATTGTAACGTCCCTCTCCATTGTCTGGACCGGCAAGGATTAGCAAAGGTTTAGCAGAGGCTCTTTAGATCACCTGACTTACAGCAATGAGGCTACAACAGGTTAGTCCAATGTTAGGCTTGCAGAAAAATGACAAGGGTTGGCACTCTTCCACTAGTGCTTACACAAGCACTAGAAGAACAGCTAGTGCACGCAATATTTTTCATTTGCGCTAGGGTCTCTGCAAATGGCAAAAAGAAACTTTGTACTAGTGGAATGACACCACTAGATACAATCCCCTCTAGGTTTCTAGTTGTCTGTTGCATGCCCATTTTGCAATTTGAATGCACTTGATAAACCCGAACAAGGCAGGAATTGTCATTATGCGAGCACTCCCAGTATAGATCTTTAAAATGAGACAACAGCAGCAACACACATCCCTATTTTCTTTCAGGTTTACCATGCATGGCTTAGCAACAGGAGAGAAATACATCTTCCGTGTGAAAGCTGCAAACGCAGTGGGGATGAGCGAGAATTCTCAGGAGTCTGAACCTATAACAGTACAGGCAGCCCTCAGTAAGTGAGACTCTGTAAGGCATAATCCCTTAAAGGAGCAAGCAAAAACATTATGAAAACATTGTATTAATTGCACGAGTGTATCGGTTGGTCTACACATTATTTGGCCCCTGTGGCGACACGGTGCCCGGCTGTAACACATAGCACTGCTGCTTGTACAATGACTTTGAATAACATGTTGACTTTCTGCAGCATTGTCTGATATTCCCGGAAGCATCCATGCCCACTCCATGGGAACCATACACATTACCAGGAGTCTCCAGATAAGAAATGATGTGACTTGCTATATGAAGTTGCAGGGAGTCAGAATGGAGACTTTCTACACAAATCAGGTGGCCTGGCACATTAAGGGCACCTTTCTTATTTGATAGAAGTTTTTCTTAACCTAAATCTTCCAGGTGCTTAGGATGTTAGTGCAATGATTATCCCAGCAAAGTGATGTTAATGTCACGGTCACAAAACATGGAAACGTATGGCTGAGTGGGGATGGGAAATAATGCTTTGGTTGAGGATTTCTTGGCCTCTAACATGTTTATAAGGGAGGCTGGTATCTGAGGGGTTGGGGTGGAGGCATTTCTGATGGCCAGACTCTCATGTTTGCACCTACACTCCTTCAAAGTTGCTAAAAGAATTTTTTAAAATGACATCTCTATTGTCTATGATGGGCCTAAAGAGTTAAAATTAGCTCATTTGTAAGCACAGATTGAATGTTTTCTGGCAGCTGCAGCATGCCTGAAGCTTCAAGCATTGCTTGAAAACAAGCTACAATCGACCCTTTGGGTGCTCTATAGCCAATATGGGTGTCATTTCCCCCAGAAATATATATCCTTCCCCCAAATTCGGAGGCAGAGGGGGTATGTATTGCCCTTCTCTGATCTGGACTTCCACAATTACAGTCCAACATGCCCACAAGGAGTAAGCACCGCTGAACACAAAGAGTGGACCTGCCTAGAACTCCCCTGTCTATGTACTGTTTCCTTGGGTGAGCCTCAAAATGCTATTTCCCCGCAGTAGAGTCAACATGCAGAAAAGAAACAAGTGTGAGCAGTGTATGTGGACACTGTTACAGTGTTAACTGTGCTTGACTCTTTCAAGCCTGCCCATCCTACCCTTATGGCCTCACGCTTCTCAACTGTGATGGACACTCGATGACCATTGGTTGGAAACTCCCAAGATTCAGCGGCGGATCGAACATTCTGGGTTATTACTTAGACAAACGGGAGGTGAAACATCACAACTGGCATGAAGTCAACTCCTCTCTTGTTAAAGAGAGGATTTATACGGTCAGTACACCTTAGATCTGATTTTGCTCTTTCTCTACAATTTTATTTTGGCTGTGGTGTTCCCATGTAGGCCAGTTCTCAAATACAGGCTAAAGTAAAGCAAAGCAAAGCAAAACAAAAACACAGAACTTGGATCTTGCCTCCTTGACACACTCAGTGGCTCATGCTGGGAGAGGTGCCTGGATTGGTTCAGTGGAATCCATTTTTGTTCCTCCTTTTCCTCACTGGCCCATGGCCAAGCAGGATTAAACAACATCTGCATCTCCACAGTGTCCTGTACAGAAGGCCGATTCACATCCCTCATGTACAGGGATGGCTCATGATGCACACGATAATGAACATGATTAATCATGCTTCCCTGACCTGGAAAAAAAATCAGGGCAAAGCCGATGGACTGTGCTGAAAACAAGCAGAGTGGATATATTTTGTTTTACAACACAAACCAGAATTTGCGTGATGGCCTGAGCCATGCCGGTGTCATAATATATGACATGAGATTGCACCAATTCATGCTGGATATTGATATGTTGTTCACGGTGGGTAGTGCTCCTTCTCAGGTACTCCAGACATCCTGCCAGCAAAATGTACAATAAGGAGTGATAAGTAAAGTTAAATAAAACAACTTGTGGATTACAACTGGATTACACTGAAAGAAACACATCTCTGCTTTTCTTCCTTTGTTGATGTTGTATCACAGTGCTTGCTTATAAAGTTTCACCAGTTATTATTTAATCTTTGTGGTTTGAAAATATGGAATGCAGTAGAAAAAGATTGGCAGAGATACATCTAGTAACCTTAAATAGCTTGGCTATACAATGGAAGTTGGCAGAATGTCCATATTTCCATTAATTCTTGAGATCACAGACAAGACAAATAAGGATATAGAGTGTGTAGATAAACCAGAAGCAAACACACATGCATCCACCACAAATTGTTTAGTGATACCACTTTTTGGGCTGGATGACTAGTCCTTTTAATTCTTTTTCAAATTTTTGGTAATTCCAGCATTCCACTTGCATGTTACATTTCCGCCTTCAGTTCCTGCTGACTCATATTCTTTCTGGTGACTACTTCCTTAAATCTCAGAAATTTTATAAATTCAAACAATACCACATCTTCTTTTCTTACTCTGTGCTCTTGATAAGCTTAGAAAAGATGGGATATTAAGAGCGGAAGACCTTAGACATTTCCTCATTCCTCTTATGGTGGGAAAAGGGCTGTATTCATTGTGGTGTAGGAAAAGAAAGCTTAGGACTCTCCCCCTCTCCTCCTGGGTCATAAAATTATCATCTTGTGTATGTGACAGTGACTGTGTGTACCTGTGCAAAGATCTATGGAATGTTAGAAACTAATTAATTGATTGATAAGATGGCTATATCTGGACAAGGCCATTCTCCATTGGTATTTGCCTGCCTGCAAAAGCTCATATTACAGCCCTGATGTACCATGGGACACTTTCTCAGTTCTTTCTTTTTGGCTTAAATTGCAACTGACCAGCCAAAGCTATTCTTTGGGAATATATCCCTAATTTATACAGTAGAACATTTAGAGCAAGACTTTCCCCTCCTGCCCCATTTTATTTGCATTTTATTTGCATATCCAGCTTCAAGCCCAGTAGAAAAGATTGAATCTGAATAAATGAATGGCTTTTGAATGCTTTTTTCCCTGTTAAGAAGGTCATATGAATATTACCTACATTAAATGTGTTTTTTTAATGTCAATTGTTCTGTGAAGGTAGAGGATCTGACAGAGAACGCATACTATGAATTCAGAATTGCTGCTGCAAATATCGCTGGCATAGGGCAGGCCTCTGAACCTAGCGAACCTTTCAAATGTGAGGCTTGGACAATGCCAGAACCTGGTGAGTAGCTTTGTTACACATCAAGTCAATGCTTTCTTTAAACAAATTGCAGTTCAATATCCATCACTCAGTCAAGGTGGCAGTGTTCTTCTTTAGCATCTTCGCTTTTTAACGAGAGTTCTCAGTTTTCTCCCAGAAAATGCTTGCGGAGTTTGTCAAATGGATGCAGCAGAAACCCTATGGGCTGTAATAGCCAAAGACTCATCCATTCTGCCTCCATGTGGCCACTCGGAAATGGTTTTTTATTCAGTAGGAAAACCCTTGGCAGGATAAAGCTCTTGCATGACAGAAACCTGATGTCTGAATTGACAAAAGTTCACCTTGGATTAACTGAGAAATGAAGCAAAAAATGGATCTGAAAGATCTTGGGTCAATTTCTAAAGCCAGTCTTGGAGTGGGGTGGAAAAATCCCCCAACACAATCCCACAAGCCCTCCCTCCCTCCCTTCCCCAAAGCTGTTCCAGCCAGTCCCCACAACCACAATAACTGTGAAGTATTGGAGGGACAGGGACAATGATGGAGCATGCCAGGAGAAGTTTGGAGGGTATTTCTATGCCAGCTGCAGAAGTCAGGGGATCTCGGGAGGAGGCCTTCATCCAAGGGCTTCAGCCCTTGCTGAAAACTTTGCTCAGAAAATGATCCACATTTTCCCCATTTTCAAGCAAGTTGAGCTTCAGTCAGCTTGTCCGTCTCTATAATTAACTAAAGCAAACAGCAGTTTCTGGCTAATGCCTTTAGCTTCAACTTTTAAATCATAAATAAATGCATATATCAAGAAAGCAGCAATTCCCATGCTGATAAAAAGGGAATCACTGTTTACTACTTTGAGTTCTTTCTCCAATCTTTGGCTTTAGGTTACTGCCTTTGTACATGTTTGCAGAGTTTCTGCTGAATTTCAGACGAGGTTCTTAGTATGTAGGAGATGCATCTGAACAGGCAGAGAGCGTGTGGTTGAGATACACTCTGCCTAGTCTTGCACTATTTGAATAAAGCAAGTTGAATTAAGTTGGAAGACTTGCAGAAACCTGCCATGGTGCTTCTTATATGAGGCTACTTTAATATTTGGATATAAATATTAATGCGGCAAGCTGTGTTTCACTGGAACGATCAACAGCAGCCATAGAAAAATAATCACAAAGTGAAAATTCAACCTCTCAACATAGAAGACATGAATAAGACACCTGCTTCTGGGTAGATTTAATTCTTTTAGCTGGTTTTCCTCTGACTTTCCCCCTCATGCCTTGTGTATGCGAGTTAACATGAAAACTACTTTCTCATGAAACAGAAAGCAGATTGATACAAAGACCCCTGAAACACTTGCTGCTTTGGAGGACTTTAATGAGGATTCCTTTCTACTTCAGGCATGCTATTCATGTAGAAACAGTAGAATCAATATAACTGTTAATGATATCATTTGGATAGCGACAAAGTTAATCCAAACTTAGTGTAGCAGGTTGGCACATCAGAATAACAATGAGCTAAAGTTGTATTACAAGGAGTGCACGCACATGCAAGATTGTTTGAGCTGCTGGATTTTCCCCCTGAAGTGCCTCTTACTTCAGACAAAAGCTACTCAGTTAGCAAGATGTGATAGGTCACTCTTGCACAAGGAGAGAAGTAGATGAATCTGTACAACGATTTTCTCATTCATAATGCTGCATATAACTTGGATTCCTCAGATGGAGGGTTGCTAGCATTGCCAATTAGAAGACCTGGTTGTTTAGTTGCGAAGTCATGCCTGACTCCTTGTGACCCCAAGGACCACATCCTTCCAGGCTCTCCTGTCTTCCACCATCCCTTGGAATCCACCCAAGCCCACACCCACTGCCCCAGTGACTCATTGTGTAAAAATTCTGTCTTTTCATCCTTAATGGATTCTTTCAGACTAAAAAACTGAGGAAGTGAGAAAGTAGGGAAAGCTACAAATCACCTGAGGACCAACTCCCCTAAAATTTCATGAAGGAAGCAGGACAATTGTGGGACCAAATTTTGCCCAGAATCTACCTGGTAATCTGCACTGTATTACCAAGTGGTGAGGGAAATGTTGCTACATGACTTCTTCAGAATTCTACTTGGATGCTAGTACATGATAGGATATTCTGTATTACTTAGCAGAAAGTTATAGCTTACTTACTGGTTGCATGAAGACATAATTAAACAGTCATCTATATTATTTACTCAGTATGACAAGAAAAAAGCAAGAATATTGTAATCAAGGAAGTGATGACAGAGGGACATTTACTTCTGCAGAAGAAAGGACATACTTATGTAAAATGGAAGAATTAAGGCTTTTCTATATGAGGCATTTATTGGGCACTCATCATTCTCTACTCACAGTTGTTTGAAAATTCTTTAGACAACATTGTGACCCTCAGTGTTTAATGAGCACTTTGGTGAGTTCTTTTAAGAGCAAGGAAAATGTGCATTGAATAGTGAAAGCAGAGGAAACAATTTCTTTCACTTGTGTACTTGTGCTATTCCACTATATCATAGTGCCACCTAGAGGTTATGTAGTAGAAAAGCAGGAGAGGAAACCTGTAGTGCTTGGATCTCAAACTGAGCCAAACCAGATGAAACTGAAGGAAGATGCATCCATGGGTAGAAAAGCTTATTCAAAAGTGTGCTGTTGCTTTGAGAATATTATGACTTCACTTCTACTATCCGCTTTCTATCTGCTCTAGGTCCTCCCTTTGACCTTACATTTTGTGAGGTCAGAAATACATCCCTTGTTATTCTCTGGAAAGCTCCTATTTACACCGGCAGTGGTCCTGTGACTGGATACTTTGTAGATTACAAGGAGGAGGAAGGGGAAGCATGGATCACTTTCAATGACAAGCCAACACCACATCGTTACTTAAAGGTAGAGAGTCAGCTATTTTGGCAGCTTTCGTTTTGCCTAGGTTTGGAATTTCTCCAGTCCCAATATATATACTTTTAAAATTATTTTAAAGAACATCACCGTTTGTTTCCCTTAAGATCACAGAATTACACGAGGGCAAATGCTACTTATTTCGAGTTCGTCCAGTGAATGATGCAGGTATAGGCAAGTCATCAGAAGTTTCTGAAGCGGTGCTGGTTCATGCTAAACCAGGTATGAGTCTACGGTATCAGTGCCCTTACTTCTAAAATGCCAAATTGCACACAATGTGTCACAGGTGTGCATGTTGGCATGGTTCTGAAATTTATTTATGTTCTTGACACTATTCTACCCCACATTTCTTCCCACAGGCTCAAGCTTCCCTGCCCCATGTTACCTTCACAATGACCCCGTGAGGTAGATCAGGCTGAATGAGAGACAGAGAGAGAGAGAGAATTAGAGAGGTCTGCCTGGTGCCATCATTATATGTTTTTCGGCGCCAGGTCAAGACCTTTTTATTTGGCCAATATTTTAACATATAGTGATTTTAATGGTGCAAGACTTATTTAATTTATTTTAAATAATGCTCAGTGTGGAATAGTTACCTTATTTTATTGAAGATTGAAATAATGTTGTAAACCATCCATAGATGATAGTAATGGACGGCCTACAAATTTTTTTAAATAAATAACCCAGTGATCCCATTGGCTGAGTGGGCTTTTGGGCTGCAAAATATCTGAATGGTTCTAGAATGACCTAAAGCATCAGAAACTTTATGTGTGAACCACCCATGAACTTTAAACCATGTGTTAGAGGAAATAGCATTTCCCAAGAGCAAAGCTTCCTAGTCATTTTATGCCACATGGATAGCTGTGCATGAGTGGTAAGAACTTTCCCTTAGTGTAATTGTTCATCGGTATAAGTTCTTAAGACAGTCTACAGCAATTTAACCTAACAGAAGCTTAACACAATCACATGAGAACATTAAAACAACAAAACAATTTGAAGGGCTAAGGGTGGATTTCTGGCATCCTCCAAAGAGCCTTGGAATCTTTGGAGACCCAGCATCCTATCGAGTGCCAGTGGCAAAGTCTCTGCTTGCCCCTCTCACAGATAACATGGGAGGAGCTGCAGTGGCTGCCTCTCCAAAAGCAGAAATGAGCCCTGAGCAGGCAAGGGCAGAATCTGGGGCTGTTTCCTTACCGTTGCAACAGCCTCCTTCCCTACCCCCTCCCTGGCGCTTTATCCAGATGGCTGGAAAAGGCCATCCAAATAAAAAGAACAGGTCAAGGCGTGTGGCGGCAGAGCTGGCTGCCATTGTGCCTCTCGCCAGCCAATGGGGGACTTCGAGGTCAGAGGCTCACATGCTTGAGGCTCCTTTAGCCTTGCATCCAAAATTTAAAAGCTGTATCCTCATGCCTTTTCTAAAAGGCACAAGGGTGGAGGCCAATCATAGATCTTGATGGAAATATTTCCTGACCTGAATCTACCTGGACAGTGTGATCTACACCTGAAGACTTCCTCCAAGGGCCACCTCCAAGGGAGGTTCAGAGAGCTGCAAGAAGAGAGAGGGCCTTCTTAGTGGTGACCCCTCTCCCCCCATTATGGAACATTCTGCCAGTTGATATCTGCCCAGTGCCAACCTGCCACCTTTTGCACCTGGTTAAGTCCTGGTTGTCCTCTGCTCTTAAAGCATCGAATGGCAGCTGTTTCAACAGAGTTAGTGGGTGGGGGGAGGGGTTGCCTGAAATAGTTTAATCGGTTTTTAAATCCGTATGCTAGAATATTGATGCCTTTTTCCATACATCAGTATTTTATGCAATATTTCACACTGCATCTATGTTTTGTATTTTATGAAAAGTTGTGAACTTCCCAGAGTGCTTTGGCTGTTAGGCAGTACGGAAATGAGAGCACAGGGGAAATGGACCACTTCCAATAGAGGGGCCTTCAAGAGGGTCTCCCCTGCAAATCGTAACAGCTGAACAGCTCTAGTATAAGATGGGTGGTCCTTTAGGCGGGCTGTTGAGGGCCACCAAAAAAATCATTTCAAATTGATTCTGCCTAGTTGCACTCTTCTGCGGGAAGGGAGAAGCATTTTGGGGGCAGGCTGTTGACTAGAAGGAGGGGAAGGAGTTGATTCGAGGCATGTGGCTAGGAGCACTGTGGCCCCCAAAGAAGAAGCAACGGCCAGGACCGCTGCTGAGGGATGCAGAAGCCGCGGCTGTGCATTTCCTCCGCATCCCAGAATCACCTGTGCACTCCCTCTCACATAGCACAGTAGCATATTACCCACTGCTGTGTAGAACTGTGATTGAATCTTTCCCTTGTGCTTTGTGCCCACTTTTTAAAAATATGTTTTGCCCTTCACACTTGGTTGATCCTTCCTAAATGGCTGGTGGGCGAAGGAGTTGGAAGCCTGCAAAGTTTGCTCTTGTTCTTCTGTTCACCACAAATTTGACAGACTGTACCAGCGTATGGTGCATGCTGCCCACCAGTGTGGCGTGGCCCCGGGAGATCTGGTTCCAGTCCCTGCATGAAGCTCACTGGGCGACTTTGGGCCAGTCACAGACACTCAGCCCAACCTGTCTCGCAGGGTCCTTGTGTGAGGATAAGATTGGGAGCAGCAGCAGGAGAATGATATCAGCCATTTTGAATGCTTTGATAGGAAGAAAGGCAGGCTATGAATGGAATAATCTAAAAAACCCTAAATACTTAAACAAGTAAATAAAGTTGCCTTACTTTTTTTTTTTTTTGCTAAGGACAAAAAGGCAAGATAGAAATATAATAATAATGTCATAGTTTTGTCTGTGCTTAATATGTATACATACGGGAGATGGAGAGATAGGGGGAAATGGTCATCTGACAGGACATGAAAGTAGACTGGGAATAAAAATAGACTGAGGCAAGAATCCCTTTTCGCTGGGGGACTTCCCAGGTTCTGTTACTTCATTTTGTAGAAGTTAAACAAATGAAACATGTTTGTTGTTCAGGATTTTTTAAAGGTGCAGGAGGTAACATTTCATGATCAGAAAGACTAGCTGTGGAAATCAGTGCTATCTGATTATAGAGCCTTTGGCTGGGAACCAGAGAAGCAGCCAAGTTTGCTTCTGGCTGAAGCTCTGGGGGGTGGTCCCCTCATGAGTGCCTTCTGGAATCCAAGGCTGTTGTGAAGCTAAGAAGCCACCAAATCACAGCAGGGACCCTGACACAACCTTACAGTCCTTTGCAACCTGCCTTATTATATAGAGATACCCCCACCCACAGTGACCCCATTTTACTTTCCAGTTGCAAATAAAGATGCAGTTGCCTTTTCTCTCATCTGTAAGTCAGGTGTCTTCCTCTTGGCTGATGCAACAAGTTGAAATAATTAAAAGAACATTCCAGACTAAGCAAATCCTTAAATGCTTTTAATGGGAACAGACATTGGGATATCTGAGACTTTCCTTTAATAATTACATTAGAACATACACTATTCTAACAGCAGTTGTATATTACAGGCACCAAAGAAATCAGCGCAGGTGTTGATGAAGAAGGAAATATTTACCTTGCCTTTGACTGCAAGGAAATTACAGAAGCTTCTCAGTTTGCTTGGAGCAAATTCTATGAAGAAATTGATGATGAAGAGAAGTTTAAAATTGAAACAATTGGAGATCAGTAAGTTCTACAGTAATTTCACAGAAATTGCTGGAAATATGGATCCCTTTAGTAAACTGCAAATTAATAATTACACACATTTTACTCTCTTCATTTAGATCTAAGCTCTACTTTAAAAAGCCTAGCAAAGATGACTTGGGAACTTACTCTGTTGCCGTTAGTGACACTGATGGTGTGTCATCCAGTTTTAATATGGATGAAGAAGGTAAGAATTTATCTTTATTTTCTCGTAAGACAGGGCAGAGTTAAGTGGACTTGTCATTTTATTAATTCTTGTCATTTTATTAATTCTCAGACTCAGTGAACATATCTGACCCTTCTTGGTTTCTATGCCAGGAAGCATCTGAAGATTTTATAGAAAAAGAGAACACTAGGAAAAAAATTGGAATGTTCAGCTTGCAGAGTTTGTTAAATTTTGCTTTAGGTTTTTGTTCTTTGGCTAGCTCTGCATTACTATTATTCTTATGCTTAGGGTATTCAGAGTTTTTACACAACTTGTTTCATTTATTGTACATGTTCTTGGATCCACCCCTTTCCACAAACTAATAAAAGTTTGAAACAAAGGGGGCTTACATGTACATAATTCCAATTAGAAATGAGATGTGTTGGTTTCCTCAGTGATTCACTTGCTAATTTTATACTTTCTTTGTTATTTGCAAATTTGCACATTGTACAATTAGTTCATTTTTCTAAGCCCTGATTAGCAATTCTAATATATTAAGTAGGGCTAATCTCTGCATCCAGCTATGTAGAACCTAGCCTTTTCCACAATTTCTATGAGGATTTACTGACATTTACAGCATATATCAGTAAACATTTCCTGTCTGCTAACTTTCATGTTATTTTGCAAATGTTGAGACCCTTTCAAAATGATACACTATAGAATAGGGTCAGCAGATAAAAGAAAGATGTTAATGCTGACATCTGCTAGTCTGGGACATTTTATCTTAAATATTAGTGCATTTGATTATGAATCTTATTAAACCCATGGGCTATGATTGGTTATCTTGGACTGTATTTAAACATCATGCTCTACTACAGAGTTTGCGTGCCCCCCCGCCCTTTTGGTGCAGCTACATGGAGGAATTTGAAAGCATGTGCTTCCATGTTTGATTAACCACTATGTCCAAGTCCTAATCTAAACTGTGGTTTATCCCAATAGGAGCCATTTAAAAAGGCAGCTTCATATGCAGTTTATCAGGTTCTGATGTTATAACAAGCTGTAATCAAAATTTGAAACAGAGGCTTCCTACCTTCTCTTTGTTGTAGTCCTAGAGCAGTGTGGTCCAACTTTTCATACCTCAAGGGAGGCATGAGAACTTCAACATGGAACCCAGGGGCTGCACAATTAATTACATTTCCATATCATAAATTAAATTGTTCACAATGTATTTATTTAATTTAATATACACAATTAATCTATTTAATTAAATGAGGGAGAAAACCAATCTGAAGTCTAAGAGTTGGCTTTTCTCTGTGACTTTGGAGACGCTAAACAGTCTGTGTGCCAGAAAACAGGTTCAGACGGAAAAGTTACATACATAGGGAAATGACTGGTTTGAAGTCACAGGCAAAAATATTCTGCATTTTGTTCACCTGGCAACTTCCGTGGGATGTCTGAGCTTGAAAACTATTTACAAGTTGATCAATGTCCCCCTTGAATTGTGTTGTTGATGTCCTCAGGCAACTCTCAAATAAATTGTCTGCTAAGTTATTTTGAATATTGGACTTGATGAAGTTCATGTCTGAAAAAGCATGTTCACAGTGTTATGTGGAGCCAAACATTGACAGTATGCAAAGCCCGAAATTGCAAAGCAATGGGAAGTGCTCCTTGGACAGAAATTTGAAGAACGCTGCACCTGTGTCAGTCCACTGTGTAAGAAATGGATCACCCTGAAGTTCACAAAGTTCCTTCGGATAGCAGCGTTTCTTAGTCGATCATTCTGGGATTACTGAAAGGCATGAGCGAGGGGTGAAGTTCAGCCATGAAATCATACTTCAGAATTACATTTCAGCACATCCAAGTGGGGCTGATCGGTGCTAAAATCCACAGAATCACCAGGTTCACCATGCATCTCCTTGCAAACAGGAAAATGAAAAAAGCTGCTATGTTCAAACTGTTTTGCAAGCAAAGAGAGCTTGTGCTGAAACCCAGCAGTCACAGTGTATAGCTAGCAAAAGTCTTGATTTGTACCCTGAAGAGACTTATTGAGAATGTTAAGGTGACTCGTTATATTGGCTAGAAATGCCAGTTCTCCAGTAAACTCAGCATCAATTATCTTCTGCTGAAGGGACTCATCGCAGTTCATTTCAATGAGAAGCAAATGCAACTCTTTCCTGACTGGAAAAAAGCCAAGTCAGCAAACATTAGAAGGAGGTCACCATACTCTACATCAGGCTCTTCATAAAAACTTTTTATCTTTTGATGAAGGAGTGAGCGCTTTCCACCTTGAATCACATTTGTGGTGTTAATGACCGCTTCATGGTGTCCTTCAGTTTCGGTTGGTTGGCACAAAGAGATTCATTTATACAGTGAATGAAAGGACACTTGACACTGTGCTTCTGAAGCAAACCCACACGTCCCAACATTGTCCCCATCATAGATGGTGCACCTTCTGTTGCTACAGAACTTAGCTTCTCAACACCTCCAATTTATTGCGTACAGTAACAACTTCCTTGTAGATATCTTCTCTTCTTGTTGCTCCATAAAGAGAAGCCATGGCTAATAGCTCATCAAACACAGTGAAATTGCTGAGCAATCCGCAGACAAATATTTTGAGCTGTGCAGTGTCCTTCACATCAGTGCCCTCATCGATGGCAATCGATATATATTGTGCATTTGACAGTTTCTCACGAGCCTCAGGAAGAGAGTGGGATGGGCTGGCAGTCTGGTAGAGCTCACAGCAATCATGCCCACTGGGACCAGGACTGGGGAGGGGGATGGGGATGGGGATGTGGAGGGGCTTCAAGCTGCAAGAGGACCACAGAACAAGGCCTCGGGGCCTGCATGTGGCCCATGAGCCACATGTTGGACCACCACACCCTAGAAGATGTAAAGAGGGGGCACATAAGCCCATGCGCAGGCCAAGTCCGTTCCCATCACATTAGAGCACAGTTTAACAACATGTCAGAACTCTGAACTCAACTACTGTTTCTTCACGTATATTTTATTTGCTTTGAAGACTTGGATTTTCATATCTTTTTCTTTGAACCAAATATAGTTCATTCTTTATGGACTCACACACTGTTCTTAACATTTATTTTGACTGTCAGAATAAATTAAAACATGAAAATTATTCTTCGTTTCAGAGCTTGAGCGTTTGATGACATTAAGCAATGAAATCAAGAATCCAAGTAAGTAGAACTTCTGAATCTAATATTCAGTCCCAGAAGGAATATATTTACACACCACTGATTGGAGTAAAGTAATGATTAAAAAAAAACTTTAATAGCACAGCTTGCTTATCCTCCTATTAATTAAATGCAAATATTAGTTTCTGTTTAAGAGAGATCTTCTTCACCACGGCAAATGTATTTGGATGAATGGATTCAGCTTGGATATGTCTAATATTTACTGGATTATGTATTTAAAAGCCCTAAATAGTGCAATAAATACGCACTTCAGCTTGCGCTCTGACTCATGCAAAACCAGCTTTAATGCACATCTGTGCAAATATAGTTGAGGGTTTCCATTTAGCTTTCATAACATTTCACTTGTTTGTTGCTTAAGGTTCTCAAAGCCTTAAACTGCTGGGACTTATCTTCTGATAAAATATTCCAAAAGGTCCTCACGTGTTTGCTTAAAGCTGTGCTCTTCTCTCGCAGCAATCCCTCTGAAGTCTGAATTAGCCTATGAGATTTTGGACAGAGGACAAGTTCGCTTCTGGCTTCAGGCAGAAAGCCTTTCACCCGACACCAACTATAGATTTATAATCAATGACACTGAAGCTGTCAACAGCGATGTAAGTACACAGCCAGGAAGAGGGGGTGGCAGCTTTTGCTCTAGACATCTTTGCAGGGGAAGAATTCAGACTTGGCAGTGAAGGGATCTTTTCTTCTGTGGCATCCCTCCATCTACAGAGATGTGAAGTCCAGACACAAGGCATCACCCTGCAAAACTGTTGTGAGTTAAAGAGTCCAATGTGAATAAATGTGTTAGTATTATCCTAAAGCATTACTAGGATGCTCCACTGATAGTTGGTGGGCACGCTGGACCTGCAGCTGGATGCTTTCTTGCCCCTGCATATCATCATGCTCCAGCTGCAAAGCCAACCTTAGATTTGGGGGACCCCTGGGCAAAATGCCATCTTTGACCCTTGGTGGTCCCTAGCAGGGGCAGGCAGCTAGAGTGCTTGAAGGGAGTGAGTGTGCCACACAATGCCCCAGAGGAAGGTTAAGTCAGGAGCACTGGGGCGCCTGCTTTTTACTGGTGTCCCCAGAATAAGGGCTTTGAAGATGGACCTATGCAAGGTGTTACTGTGGTGGGTCCTGCCAGGGCACTGGGGGATGCCATGTGCTGATGCTGAGCCTGCCTGAGAGGATCGGAGCATGGGAGAGGTCGACACAGTGCTGGGGAAGTGCCTCAACCTCCTCTCTGCCTTTACACCATCCTATCTCTGCTCCTTAATGACAAATCAATAAACCCACTAAATCCGAGATGTTACTGGCTTCCCTTGCTGCATTTTCCATATGCACAGAGCAAGAGTATCCAGTGTAATGCAGAGTATCCATCCACGTAATGCAGATGAATCCCTCTTGCTTTCAGCTCCCCATCTGCAGCTGTAGTTCTCCATTACTGTGCAGGAGGAACTGATGCTCCACCTCCTTCCCCCACCAGCCAGCCACAGCAGGCGGTTCTTCTTGGCAAGGAGTCGCAGACTTAGCATGGCCACAGTGTCCCTTTTCAGCCCACTGCAAGCCCATTGCCTAGCATCAGGAGGATCCAGAGTCCTCTGAAGAGGGCGTTCATCAAGCTAGAGCAGGGGTGGGCAAAAAACAGATTGCCAGGGATTTCAACTCTGCCAACTTGGCTGATAATTAGGAATACTAGGAGTTGACGTCCACAACATCTGGAGATCTGCTTTTGGACCACCCTGGTTGCACCGCACCCACTAGAATGAAATAAAATCGTGACAGCACTCACAGTATTAGCAGCCTAAATAAAACACACGTATTCTATCTTTCCTTGCAGGGGTGGTTTATAATGCTACACATGTAAAAAAAGCTCCCCAAGGCCTTATATAAAATAAGTCTTTTGCGAATCCATTCTACTTTTGTAAACTCTTAAGGGCAAGGATAATTTTATTCATGTGCGAGTAGATAGGTCTAAATGGAAAATGTTCTCTACCTAGAATATAATATTTTGCCTATTTTCTATTTCTTTATTGGAACCATAATGCCTAACTCTTTCCTTCTTTCCTCCCCCTCACCTTTTTTCTAAATCTGAGTCATCTCTCCTTATACTCCTCTCCCCCTCCCCCTCTAAGTTTTGTATTTTTAGCAATACTATGAAAGCATTGGCATCAGAGCTACTCCTCCTCCCTGACAGAACTGTAGTATTATTTCACCTCTTTAATTAGCAAGCTACAGGTGACGTTTGCATTTGGAGATTGATGATATTTTTGTAGAAATTCACATAAAAGCCCTGTATTTATGACTGCCATAAAACCATTGAATTTCATCTTGCTGCATAATGGCAATAGCTAGAAACCTAATTATATTCTAAAACCTGCCTAGAGACAGGCATTGCAGCCGCTGATCATATTCAATAGACCATCATCCTTGTAAGAATATAGTTTTGTTCCCAACAGTGGCCAAAAATAGATAATTTCCAATGAGGTCCTAATTGGAACAACTTCCTTTGGCCTTTCTTTCAAAGCATTTTTGAAAATAAGTAACATTCAGAAAGGAATACATTCACTACTCTTCTTGCTGGCAATTTCAATCCCCCACCCTGTGGCTCAAAGTAAGGGAAGAAAATATATTCCAATGAAGTATAAAGAGCAGAGGGTGGCTTTTTTCCCTTTTGTTGAGAAGAAACATAGTCAGGTTTTCTGTTTTGAATGCCGATATGTTGCAAATGAAATGTATTTATTTATTTTGCCTTTTGTTGAGGGGGGAACAGATTGTGGTAGAATCAGCAGGCACATTGCCTTCAAAAGGTACATTAATATCAAAGTCTACACAGCTGTGCACTTGAAGTATTTATATTAATCTCAATGGGGCTTGTGCTATAGATGTTCCCTATGGATTGCCAAAAGCTCCTAAGAGGCTAATGGCACCAATTATTTTAGGCTATGGAGTCCTCCTTCAGGAGAACAACTTGGGGAAGAATGTTAAAATCCCTATTAAAGCATTTAAAAATGATTTCAAAAATCTCTTATTAAAATGATGGTATGAGACTGGCAAGACTGATCTCAAATAACTACCTATGAAAGAGCATAATTTATAAAAATATTGATGTAGTGTAGTGGTTAGGAGAGAAAGCTATGAACTGGGAAGTCTCCTGTGCAAATCTGGCCTTTGCCACTGAACTTCCTAGGTAGTTTTTGGCACTCCCTCCCACCGCTCTCTCTCCCCCTCTCTCCACCCTCCCCCCACCACTCCACCCTGCTATCACCTGCAGTTCCCTCATCCTATTAGCAGTGTGGGGGATAATCGTGCTGCGTTAACTTACTGGGTTGTCAGGATTGCAAACAGTTCATGTGATTGGAGTGCTTTGAATACTTTACAGCAAATTTAATAATATTAATCATAATTATTTGGCAGTTAAAGAATTCAGCTTCCAGAAGCAGTAATGGCTTTCAAGACACATTTCTGTAACAACCCAGTTGTGCAAAGGCACAACAGTGCTCCACACTATGAATGCAACATCCTTTGACATTCCAGTGAACTCTTCCTTCTCTGGAAAAACCAAAAATGCTTAAGTTAACCCAACTTGGAGTACAATTCTGTACATGTTTGGACAGAAAATATCCTGTAACTAGTGACATTCCCTCCCAGCAGGGCTGACTGAGGAATCCTGGCACCTGTATTTTTTTCCTGTCTCCATAGGCTGCAATCCTATAACCAGTTAGCTACAGGAAGCCCCACTGGGGTCAATAGATTTATGGCTGAATAAGGCATAGAATGGATTGCACTGGAATTCTATCATGCCCCAAAGGTGAATGATTGCATCTCTACTAGGTTACACGCTTACTCATATTCAAATAGATGTGTATATATGTGAGAGAGACGGAAAGGAGGGAGGGAGAGAGTGGGGGCAGTGAATGCATAAAATGTATCATACAGTCATACCAGCTGGTTGCTTTGAATGCTTCTGAAATGGAAGCCTTCCTCAGCCCCCTTCCACACAGGTGAGAACATAGGTCAGATTTTGTACTGCTCTGCAACTGCACACAGGTTGTGAAGGAGAAAATCTGCTTGCTCGTGCAAAAGCATTCTGTGAGCGGTTCTCTGTGCAATTGCAGAACTGTTGCTCTTCCTTACTGTATGTGTTTCTTTCAGATCATTTATCACAGATGTGGCAGTAACTCATGGTGATGGTGTGGAGCTGGGTGGGCAGGCACTGATTCTACTCCTAATCTTGTATTATGTGCTTGAATAATATGGCTAGGCCTGGGGAGAAGGCATTAAACTGTGTGATCTTCTTCAAGTCTGCTCCAGACTAAGTCACACTGCATTTCATGGGAATTCCGAATGAGATGGATTGACTCCGTAAAGGAAGCCACCCCCTTGGGTTGACAAGAGCTGAGCAGGGTGGTCAAGGGCAGGACGTTTGGGGAGCATTCATTGGCAGAGTTGCCATAAATCAGAGGACTTGACAGCACAGAACAACACTAAAGCTATGCATAGCATTTCCGTCTTATGGTATTTTCCTCTGCTCTCAGATCTATTCATCACTTGATCTACAGTAATATCCATTAATTCGATTTGGTTTCCAGCACACGAATTACTCCAGTCCAGTGTTGTATACAACAGAATGCTCAGGTGTGTTAGACCCGTCCTATAGACATGCTCTTTGACCTCTCTCATTTTCAGACACACAAAATTCATTGCGACCATTCCACTGGCATTGTTGAGATGGTCATGGATCGGTTTACCATTGAAAATGAAGGCACCTACACAGTACAGCTCCAGGATGGAAAAGCCAAGAACCAGTCTTCTTTAGTTCTCATTGGTGATGGTAAGTTGCCTCTCCAGTTTGGCTGAGTCTGCTGCATATCTGAGAAGCATTTCTGAATACCTGAGCAATCAACTTACTTTCCCCTCCCCGCTCTCCATCTCTGCCTCTTTTTAGCATTTAAAGACATATTGGCTGAGGCTGAATTCCAGAGAAAGGAGTTCCTGCGAAAACAAGGTAAAATCAGACAAGCTTTGTTTTTTTCTTGTGGAGGGAAGGCTGTGCTCCACCAGAACAATATACTGTACATTCTTGATATCCATTGGCATCAATGAATGCCCTGAACACTGAGTGTTCCAGTAATCAATATTTGATACGGCTGGATCTTTCGTTTCCCATGAAAGAAATCCATAATGCACAATCCTTTCATGTAGTGCTTTCAACATTCTTGGAATGTATTTCTCTGCCTTTTTCTGGCTGAACTTCCCTCAAAGTTGATTTCTGATATATAGCCAAGCTGCAGTAAGGTTGTGGAACAGCTTTGTTAAGTTGGAGTTTTCTTTTCAAAGTATTTATCATTGTCTTCTTTAGGTTAGGCAATGTAGTATCTGTCAAAAGGAAAACAAACTATTGTGATTTCTTCCCACAATCTTTCCAGAAGACAAAACCTGAAAATATGTTTTGCTTCACATTTCATGAAAAATAAAACTTGGCTTTTCTCTGATTATTAAATGTATCTTTTACAACTCCATTTGGTTTCCTCACACCTTACAATTAGTGGAACTTCAAGATTTGCTTCATAAATTATGACTTAACGTGCATTTTGGCAAGGCCTTTTACACAAACATGTACATCCAAATGCTGCTTATTTCATTAACATTTTTATTAGGATGAGTTAACTTTCTCTCTTTCCTCCAGTTCTGAATATGTCTAGCTGAGCTGTACTTCATTGTTTAAAAATCGAAATAAATAATTGCGTCTGTGCTTTCCTAAGCGTTGAGATTCTGCCAAATTGTCCTCTTCATTCTCCCACTCCATGCCATCTTGCACAGGGCCTTGCTTCCAAAAGGCAGTGCACAGACGGGCGTCTAGCAATGGATTTCTTAGCCCTGGCTTGCTCAGGTCTTTCCACTGAATGTACCAACTGACTCCACTGTAAACACTCTCTACTTAAGGAAGTGAGATACAAAAGTTCTCCCAGTGGAATCTGTGAAAGTTGCCTTGGATGATGTAGTGGTGAACCTCAACACGCATGCATGCATATCCACAAGATATTAGTCCTGCGAATTATAGAAGTGACATTATGGAGATTATGGTGATGCTTCAAGTACTACATGGTGGTAAATCTATGGCCGGTACGTTTACCATCCTGTGTACAAGTAGCAAAGAGCAAGGGCAGCCTCACCAATGCACAGAATCATGTGCTCCATCAGGTAGCAAAGCCGAAAGTACAGTACAGTACAGTGCATTGCAATGCCTTCCCCAGCAGCCCAGTCAGGAGAGCCCATGGATGTCCCTTCCAGCTTGTGCCAGATCCCCGCAGCACTCTCTGAAACAAGATCTCAAGCTTCCCGATCCATCTTACTTAGTGGTTTAGTTCTGGTTTTATTTTTCTCTGGAAATGTAGCAGTTGTGACGTGTGTGTGTCATGTCTTATTTTTAGGTCCTCATTTTGAGGAGTATTTGCACTGGGATGTTACAGAAGACTGTGAGGTGTTGCTGCTCTGTAAGGTAAACACTTTTTTAAAATATGCAGTTTAACAAAACGACTGTTTCCTTTAGGGAAATAAATTTAGGCAGTTTCAATAAACAGGAACCTAGAAGGAAGCTGTGTTTGCCATTCTTGCTTGTTTGTTTGTTCCTGAAACTTTTGTAATTTGGATTATTTGTGGAAACAATAAAGCAAAACAAAGCAAGTCAAAGCGAACAAAAACCAAAACAAGATGGAAACTAAAAGCATATTGACGATGGTCTAGGCTAGCCTTCCTCAACCTGGTGGCTTTCAGAGGCATTTGGACCACAACTCCCAGAATTCCCATCCTGCAGGGCTTTTGCTTGGGAATTCTGGATGTTGCAGTTGAAACATGTCTGGAAGGTACAACGTGGGGAAGGCTGGTCTAGGCATATTTAAGTACATTTACAGCACACATCTCTGAATGACTACTCAGAAGTAAACTAGAATGAGTACAATGCGACTTAGTTCCATGTAGGTTTCTATAGGATTGCAGCCACAAGAAAGGCAGTTAGTTTGGTGGACACTTATTGGACCACAAGTCTATTTGAATTCACTGAGACATATTTCTGAGTATACATGCATAGGCTCAGCTCCTATATTTCTTTATTTACATAGCTTTGTTTTAGAACTAATCAGAGAAGTCAGAGGGGTTTTTTGTAGCTGCTTGTGATCGTTTTAAACTAGAGATGCTTGGAATTTAATTGGCTATGGTTTCCAGCAAAGCATGTTCTACCATTGCATTTTGGCCCTTTGATTTCTATAGTAAAACAAAACAAAACAAATATGTAAAGGAAATTGTCTGACTTTGATTTTTGTCTAAAGCTTACATGATCAGGCAACTCACAAGCAGCATTCATTGAACTATATTAAGCCTCATTCTTTGTCCCTAGCTTGGAACAGATTGTGGCATAAAATTCCTGTAGGTTGGCATATTTTTACCAATCAGGAAGTGGAGCATGTCAGTTGCCCCCCCATTTCTTTTGTTTTTTCCATCTTCCTTTGAACAATAGTTGCTCTTCAAAACAGGGTGTTGTGTTCACTTCACTTCTTCCAGCTGTTAATGGCTTCAGGGCACAGCATTTGTCTTGGTTTGGTTTCTTCAGGAAGAAGGTCAGCCGAAGCTTATGGCATTTGTAGAATCTGAATATTCTACTGAAAGTGGGTGAAGGCACAGCTTAAAAGACAGGCAAAGTCCAAGTCTCCCACCACAGGTTTCTAGAGCATGAGACAGCCTTTATCCTGAAATGCTATAGGTTTACTCAACTCTGTGGGCCAAGCTGCGTGCTTATTTGAGCACCCAAACCTTTCTCCCCTGCTTTCCTGAGAACGAACCCAATTTGGATTGGGACTTTGGTGTTTTGGGAGAAAAGGCTTTCATCTACTTCTGCCTGCAATTTGTGTAGTAAGACTTCACCATCACACTGTTGGGTGGAAACAAAGGAAAACAAAATCTTCATGGAAATTAATTGGGGGGGGGTTTGCACTTTAATCCCCACCCCACCCCGGTGTGCCTGCATGTGTGTGCGTATTGCCTAGTTTCCCATTTTGAGTGAAACATACAGCTCTACTTAATCAGAAACATCCTGGCCTGTTCATTTTCAGTGATCATCAGAAACTATGTACAACAATTCAAAACATTTCTCTTGCTGTTAAATTTTTAACTCACTTCTTAGTCAAAGCGACTCTTAAGGCAGCTAGCAACTTTTGAAACAATTAACACAGTATATGGATTTAAACACAGCCACCCACCGGCATATATGAACCAAGCTTTAAAACAGCATCATGCCATAAAGAATCAAAGTCACTGCAATGCAAGGAAATCCCAGTAAATAATGGAGGCAAAAGTAAGTGGCCCAATGAAGACGAATGTGTAGGGAGTTTCACAAGTGACACCCAGGAAGCCCTCTTCTGCACTGCTATTCACTGATCTCCCAAAGGTAGGCAGGGCGTCAAGGGGAGATCCTGATGATGGGGTAGAGTCACATGGGGGCAGGCCATCCTTCGGAATGTGTTGCCACTTACAGCAGGGAATGTGAGCAAAAATCCAAGAACATGTGGCTTGCCAGATATCCCGTTCCACATTGCTTCTTTCTGTCCTCGTTCAGGTGGCGAACACCAAGAAGGAGACCTTTTTCAAGTGGTACAGAGATGGAGCTGGATATGAGGCGGAACAGCCTGACCTGCAGAAAGGAGTGTGCAGCCTGACTATTCCAAGGGTAGGATGCCATGACTCTCGATCACATGCATAGCGGGCTGTCTCCTTCCTAGGCCCTCATGGGGAGGCATAAAATCACAGAAGTGTGCACTTGCTGGGCATTGGGCTAATTTAGAACTCCTGTGTGCATGCATGTGCGTGTATGCATGCATCTGTTGAAGCTCCAGTGCTAAACTTTTATTTTGAGTTTTCTGTACAGGGTGGGGGTGTGGAGGGTAAACATTGCATGTATAGGTTTGCTTCCTTTTTCCTTTGCATTTTCTCTTATAATTTATATCAATTGGCTTTTACTTCAGCCATTTTGAAATCCTCCTGGAATTCTTGGGATGGGTGGGATAAATGAAGACACAAACATGGACATCTACGTATATTCTGTTAGCACAATTGTATGGATGAGATATTAAGGTATTTGTCAGGGGTGGCAAAATTCAGGACTTGAAAGAATTATTTATTTATAGTATATATTTATTATTTAGTAAGTATTTATTCATTCTATTCCCACCTTTTTTCCTTTCAAGAACTCAAGGAAGCATACATAATCCTCCCCCCCCCACCATTTATTTATTTTTTATTTCTTTAGAATGAAATCTATTGATTGTATAGCCATCAGAGGAGCTAGGAGAGAATTCCTTCTTCCTCTGCAGCCCCCTCTGCCTGCCAGATCTTCTCCAGATGATTGAGAGGTCCTAGAGTAGACTGGAGGATGGTGCCTTAGGAGGAGAGGAAGGGAATGTTTTACTGTGCGAATGAAAATCTGTTCATGCAGCCTTGGATGAACCCTAGTATTTATGCCCCACCTGTACATGAGAATGCTCCCAAGTTGACTAACGATACAACCAACATGGGAAGGCAACCATACAATACATGTCACAATGCAAGACAAGGTCAGATAAAATAAGTCAGTGAAACTTTAGTCAATTAGAACCAACACAAACACACAGCAGGCACAACAGGGATGCCCAGGCAATTCTAAAGTGTGGTCTGAACCTGCCAACTATAGCAAAACTATTCCTACATGGGGATTAGCTGCCATAGGTCTGGCTTTACTTAAAATGGTATCCATGAATTCGAGGCCTAGTTGAAGTTAACTTGGATAATTCCATGGAAAAGGGAGTAGAATCCGAACTGACTGTTGGCACACAATCTGGGAAACTGAGACAGAAGGCTGCAGAAGGAGGAGGGAAGAGTAATTGTGGAGAGGGCACTAAGAAGTAGATAGGAATGTTAAAAGATGCATGCAGGCCACCCTAAATGGAGGTCTAGCAGGGAGTGAACACTACCAAGCCTTACAAAATAGATCTGCTTGATATTCATATGATGGAGGGTACCCAATAGTCTCCTTAAGATGTTTGAGCTTGCCATGTTCCTCAGCCTGGAATTTTGGGGAGCTCACAAAGTGTACTGGAATGCCTTCCTTCTAGAGTTACAGGATGGTGGCTGACCCTGTCTTTGCCAGGAGACCTCAAAGGTTCCTGGGGAAGCCCCGCCATTTATCTCATAAACATTCTCCAGGATAGCAGGTTTGGACATATACCTAAAAAATAAAGGACATGTTGCCGTTAAGTTTGTTGAAATGCATGGCAACCTGCTATCCCTGTGCACTTCTGTTTTCATGAGAGCCATACACAGTGCTTGGTGGGCAGAAAGAGTTTTCTTTGATCAGCTGCAGTGAATATCAGGAAGTCTGGTGGGGTTGCTTAAACTGGCACAGTTTACCACAATGAGGGTTGGCTGGGTTTGCATTTAATACTGTTCTATGATATGGGTTGTTGAATGTTGGGTCATCATGATGTGAAAACTCAGTTATGCTAGCAAACAGTTTCTTAACCACAAACCACCCATAGTGAACCTATGGTTTGTTGGGTTGTAAACTCTGGGTTATTTAAACCATGGTTTGTTGTTACATGCAAACCAAGAAACTGTGGGTTGTTCATGGGTGGTCTCACCAGGCTAAAAAATGATTTTAAGCCAGGGTATATGTCAGTACAATAGCACAAAACGCCCCTCATCCCAAAAACAAATTGGGGTATACAAAGGGATGGGTGAAAAAGGAAGGAAGCAAACACAGGCATTAAGGAAACAAACCACAGTTTGTTCCGTTTTCTGCTAGACAAACTCTGAGTAGAACAATAAAACACAGGTTAATCTGTGGTTAAATAAACTGTATGGATAAACAATGTCAGTATTTTTGAGAAAGTGGTTTGAAAGAGCCATTGTTTCATCTGCTGCTGTCTTATATTTCTTTTGTCTCACTGTCACAAGCAAGTTGGCAGCTACTTGAAACAATGAATAAACTTTGGAAATCTATCGAACAGAGTCAAAAAACAGAGGTGATTCTTTTTTGGAAGTATTTTCAACTTTCTGAGAGAGTCATATTCTGCCACTAGCCTCAGCTTCTCCATTTTATTCATTAGTACTTTTCAAAAGCGAGCCATGATTCCTTCAGTGTGCTATTAATGTAAAAAGTCTGGGGTATTTATTTCAATTTATTTCACCATTTCCTTTTAAACTCTCTCTACCATGCTCTCGGTTATTTACTTGACTTTCAGCTTCACTTATCTAAAAGGCAGCAGAACAGAATGAGCTCTTTTACACTATTTAGCAGCCCTCCTGTTATGCCCTAACCTTTCCAATTCTATTTTTGTTCAATATATGCACATGTCCTATGCATTGTGAGTCTATTATGATATGTTGCAATTCCCATGTGACACTTCTGTGTTTTAATTACCTCACTTGAAATGTTTGATCTTTTGACTAAGTACTCTTGATTCTAAAGCATCCATATTTTAAACAAAGAAAAAGTGCCTCTTTGTTGCTTATAATAAGTAGAGTTTGCAGATTCGCAGCCCAGTCCTAACCAAAGTCACAATCTAGTCAAGACTAAGCATGAAGCATGAACTCACTTTGCTTGCACTGAAATCAGTGGGACTTTAAAACTGTTTTGCTTGGCTGGCTTATGCCCTAAGTTTATTCAGATATCAGGCACATTGATTTCAATGGGACCTACTCCCATGATCATTACTCTCAGATTGAAGCTGCAATCTTAGATCCACTCATCTAGAGGACAAGCCTGCTGAACTCAGTGAGACTTACTTCCGAGTTGACCTGCTTAGGATTGCGCTGTTATTCTGTTCTGGTTATCCATATATAGAATGGGTATAAAAATTGGCATTTTTCTACTACTGCTTCAACACCACACACGCTTAATGCTATTATCGTCTCTCTTTCAAAAAAGAATAGTTCCTTGAACTTTACAAAGTTAATTGTGATTTACACTGATTCAAAATGATACCTTCAGAAGGAAGTTTGATAGACAGCTTAGTTAATTTTAAGTAGTAGATGTAAGTATATGAATGCAATAATTCATTAGCTGTGCTCTCACCTCAATGTCCTCTCATGTCATTTCTGTTCAGGCAGCATTCAAAGTAAATTTTCTTTCTGTTACAGGAAATGTAGCAAGTATGTAAAATGTCTTTCCTTGATTTAAGTTGCACAATAAGTATGTCATATTTTGCTTCCAGCTGTCCAAAAAGGATCAGGGTGAATATAAGGCGACCCTGTCAGATGACAGAGGCCAAGATATCTCTTCGTTGGATGTATCAGGAAAAGGTAAAGCTCCATGTGTTCCGTATCTGGCCTGGATAGTTAATCATTCTTTCAAACTATGGGAAAATACATCCTTTAATGACACTAAACAGAACCAAAGAAACACCTCTGAAGTGGAAATTTTTAGAAATTCTGAAGCATTTATAACTGTGAATGTTTTCTTCTCTTTCTAACATGATGGCATTTATCCAACCTTTTTCATTTTTTAATAAGTTTCAGCAACAACTGCAAGAAAAATAATAAAGAACTCCATCTCCATAGATTTGAATATATTAATTATGAATAATCTTCAACAAAAGTAGACCAAATATCCATGCATAGATCCATGGTGTCTCTGTCTGTCTGTCTGTCTGTCTGTCTCCAAGAATGGTGTCTATATGGCACCCATTCAAATGTTGAATGTGTCTTTAGGTCCTCAATCCATTGCATTACAGTAGGTGAGCAATTATCCTTCCAGTATCATAATATTGATATTTTAGCTCTCAAAGGGGCACAGAAAATCCATGATCATGTGTTAATTTCCAGGAAGCTGGTAGATAATTTTGAAGTATGTATACAGCAGTGAATATTAGTGTTCCACTGTCAAATGTATCTATATTATATTATCCCCAAAAGAGGAAACTCCTGGACATTTCCAAAACATATGATTAAACGTGGGATGTTAGCTCCAGCACTTAGCTGACTTAAACAAACACTTTTTAAAGAGATACTATAGCAGGCAATAAGCACAAAGCAAAAGGGTTTTTTTAATGATGTAACCTAAGATTAATCAAAGCTTCCGATACACATGCTAAAGTGTCAATGCATTGATAGATCTTGTGTATCATATTTATTAACTGATAAGACATATTTCTGAACATGGATCATGGTTGATATAATTGATAGCCTCAGTAAGTGTTTGCAATCGTGGAGGCACCACAGAGTTGTAAAAACTGCAGGGTTAACCCCAGATTCTGACAAATGCTGCAACTGCAAGTATTGCCATGCAGCCATAGCAGGCAAATGCCATTTGGCACACAAATCCCAAAAGGACAGAAACACACCACCAAACCCACTGATTAATCTGAAGTAAAAACCAACTATCCACCCACATTTGCCACAAAAACATTTTCTTGCCAATCCCTACATCTTTATTTTACCTTCAAGTCAGTTTAACATGAAAAATGGGTGACTATAACTGCAGCGAGGGCGGCCACATCATGACCTATGGGGAAGACTGACATGATGCACAACATTTGCTGATACATCTGGTGAAATACTATACAGGTGCATAGAATGCACCATGCAGAGCAATGTTGGTGTTTTCGGGCTGTCTCCACCTTGCAGCCTTTTCCTGGGTCATCTTACTGAGAGCCTCAGCAGGTCCAAGAGGCCAGTGATCCATGTGCACCACAACTGTCCTTGATTCAGCCTTTCTGGGTCTCTCCCAGAATGTTTGGCTGTGGGTTTTGATGGGGTTCACACCCCCACAAAGCATATTAGTGAGATACTGATGAATGGACAGGCTGGGAGGGCTCCATGAATAGACCCACTTGCTGAGAGGGCTTCAGGTCATTTTAAAACGCATCACTCCAGCCTGCAGGTGAGTGGCAACCCTTGCATGTTTGCTGGCACTGAAAGGGAGCGAAGTGCTCAATGGCAAGGTGCAGACTTTCTGCTTCAGACGAAACTTTCCCCAAAGCTTTTCACCAGATTTGCCAGCCAGGGAGGGCTACTTTCCAACTGGAAGTCTGGGACAGTCTGGAGAAGGAGGCTCTTCTTTTAAATAAGGCAACGCTCAGGGGCTGGATCCAGGACTGTCCTGCAGCCTTGTATCACAGAGTGTTCATTTAAATGCTTATGGCAGAGAAGTCTGTGCCAGTAACTTTCCTTTTATTTCCAAGCTGTTCTGTGTTTCCAAGTAAAAGCTTTATTCCCTGTGAGACAAATTGTGCTGCTGTAGTTTTGTCTTGCATTTATTACTTAATAAAAGCAATTGCAATAATCACCAGAATCAGTCCCAGTGTTAACACCTCCAGCTGTTGCCCAGGTTAGCAGTGGACTGTAAATGCAGAAGTAAAAATGAGCTTGCACCAGAGTCCTGCTGTTTCCTAGCAGGATTCTGGCATGACTATATTTCTCAAGCTGACAAGATGCTGTCTCCCCATCTTTCCTCAGTGTATGACGACATGATCCTGGGACTGAGTAGAGTCAGTGGTGAGTAACTGCTATTTCTGCTTGGATACATATATGGTTAACCTGTTAGCAAATAAAGGAGCCAGTTGTCACTGAGAGTGGAATATCTCAGGTGAGCCATATGCTCTTCCAGGTGTGTGGTTAACATTCCAAGGAGAGTTCTGACTTTAATTGACATTATTAAACAGGAAGAAAATACGATGCCACCGTGACTTGGGACAAGGCAGGTTGTTAGGTTTCTGAGACCTGTTCTTTATTCACTTCACTATTGATCCAAGTCACTTAACGAGAGCATTTCAAATAATTGCATCGGTGCAAAACCTTAGTCGTCTAGGGTAGAACTATGTGTGTCATCTTATACATCAGAAACTTGAGGAATATTACAAGCATTTTCCAGCAAATCCAAAGAATTTAGGAGGCCCATTTGAAGATGATAGAAATACGTATGTCAGGAGAATTATTTCTGACTTTTATATTCTGATGCACTCCTTCCCTTGCTTCCCATGCTATGTGGCTAAACCTCAAAACAAGCCTATTTTTGGAAAGAGGTACTTGGACTTTTATTAGGGACACTGGCTGTGGTGCGCGCACCTCCTGTCAGATCACAGACACGCACATGAGCGACGACCTCTTTTGGCAGGACTGACAGTTCAGATTCCAGTGATGAGGCAGGTGCATGGGAGGCCACCTGTTCTGGTGGGACTGACTTCTCAGACTTGGACAAGGGCATTGTTTTGAAATGGTCCCAGCCCCAGCTGCAGCTCAAGGTCTTCAGACTCTGCAGGGTTTTGTTATGGGAGAGATTAGCCCAAGGGCAGATGAGGGGACCAGTCAACCCAGCCATGGGAATGAGGAGGAGCCTCCTGAGGAAGGAGGTATGGGAATGGGTCATTTTTGGAGCGGGAACTCCCACCTCCTGATGAGGTAGACCCAACAGTTAGATGTCGCCATCGCAAAATGGTCCAATGAGCAATGTGGTAGGAGGAGTGAAGGCATGCCTGGCTCCACAGCGCTCCCCGCCCCCCAAGAGAGAAATGCAGAAGGATTCATAAGGAGAGTTTTGGGTAATGAATGATAGAAAAGGGTCAATATTTCACTTTGTGTATGCTCAGAGACTTGAATATGAGAATAAAGGCTTTTAGCAAAGAAATGCTGGTGAAGCTGATCTTGCTTGGAGGGGATGCATGATGCATGATGATGCAGAATTTTCTGGCCTTTCCTGTTGACATTTTATTTATTTATTTATTTATTTAAAACATTTCTATGCCGCCCCATTCGCCGAAGCCTTGGGGCGGCTCACAACATAATCCTTTTCAAATTCAGGTCAGGATTAACAGATTCCAAATTTCTGAGTTCTACCGCCTCAATATATGCAGATGATGAAATAAAAATTCAGTATATTGTCTTTTTTTAATGAAAAATGCTTTAAAACTTAAATTGTCTTTAAAAGTAAATTAATTGCTTTAATTAAACACATGGGGATAGGTAAACAAACCTACTCTTTACAGTCCTTTACCAGAAGTGCTCCTGGGGGCTGCCATTTTGCTGCTTTTATTGACTGAAAAGGGGGCTTTGTCAGTGCAATGAGCTCTACTGAGCTCCCCCTTTGCTTTTTTCCCCCAACATGCTGATTGAGGTGATAACATGGGATCTGAATAATCATGTTTATGCCTGCAGGCAAATCTGCTTCTAATCTGAAGATCCACTGCACTCCAGAGGGAATAAGGCTACAGTGCTCCTTGAAGTACTACTCAGAGGAAATGAAAGCGAGCTGGTATCACAGGTAAGTGCAAGTCCTGTATGGGTTCGTCCAGTGCTTGTGGACAAGCATTTTGGCACAGATGCAAATACGGGAGCTGAAGCTAGTGGGGAGACAGCTTTCCAGTGCCCCTCTCTTAACTTGCTCGAAAAATTAGTGACATTCTCAGGTAACAGGAAGAGAAATGAGCCAATCCCCTTTTCCATGCTCTCATCGGCACAGCTGGCAGTATTGCGCACGAATCCCTAGTCAGCCCTGAATCATCCCAGCACTTTGCATAGCAGGGAGCATAAAACAAATCCTAAAGCCAGCATACAATCATCCACTCATTGCACTGCAGGGACTCTAACCCAACTTCGCTCTAGAGGTCGGCGCGGTTGAGTGAGCTGAAGCTTGTTCACTGAAGCAAAAGCCAACTAACTATATTTCATTCTTTTCCTATTAGGCCCTTTATCATCATTAGGTCAAATTACCTGCGTTAGGACTAATTTTTTAGCTGATCAAAGAGAACCTAGCCATTGTATCACGGAGTTAATGAACGAACATTCCAGGGTGGTGGGGGGGATAAGCAGAGGTTATCAATATTCTAACCACAGAGATAACTAGTTTGAGATGGCAATACTTGGGAAATAATAATTTTTTTAGAAAATTGTCTCAGCGCTGGGCATTTCTCCATTCCAATTCCAACTGCATCATTTCAAAGCTTAAATAAGATTCACAATGTGCCTGCAGACCAATCATTGTTTCCAGGCCAATTCTTCATTCCCCAACCTCATTCTGCAGTTTCCTAGTCCACTGGTACATCGCATCAACTCCCTCCAACTATTAAATAGAAATATGAAGCAGAAGAACATGAAGATGGTTTATGTAATAAAGTTAACTCATACTTCATCAACACATTTTGAAGTAGCTCACATAAACAAAATAATATATTGCTTATCTATTGAATGTCTAATTTTTTGTATAAAATCAATAAGAAGATAAAACATAACCCTGCGACCAAGATAGCAGTTGTTTCTTGCACAACCCCCTCTTTTGCCTTGGGCACAGTGTGAAAGCCCTGCAGTCACACAGTCCCTAGCTATATTGGGGTACCCATGCCAGAAGTATAATTTTGGTTTTGATGGGGGAGTTGGTTGATTCCCATGTTCAATCCCTGGCACCTTCAGTTAAAAGGTTCAGGTAGCAAGCAGTGGGAAGCAGCTTTACTGGAGAAGTTGGAGAACCACCACCAATCAGATGGACATACTGGGACAGAAGGGCAACTGGTCCGCTCGGGCATGATTGCAGTGTTCCCATGAGGATGCAATCACAAGCATCTGTTTCTGTTGAGGTCTGGATTATCGCCTCAATATGGGCAGTTTGTGATTTGAGCAGTCCAGCTTCACACCTGATGATGTTTCCTTGACCTAAAATGGTGGCAATTTCTGAAATGTTTTTGAATCCGAAGCTTTTGTTTAAAACACTGACAGGGTGAAGAATAATATGCTAAACCTCAGAAATGAAAGTAGTCAATGGGGAGAAGTGGGGTTTTTTTGGGGGGGGGGTTCTTTATCACATGATGTTGCAATATGGTTCAAGATTTTTGAACCTTTGGATGGGGTCATAGTAGGACCTCTGCAGATAAAGCAGGAGATCGGTTTCACCAGGTACCCACACCACTTCCTTTGTGTTTAGGTGCAGGCAGGCACAGTGGCCCATGACCTCAGAGTCGGGGATTAATTCTTTGTTTGGGCTCCTGTGTGGCTAACTGATTTATTCCCCAGCCCTCCCTCAGCTTCATTTATTGCTGTGAAGCTCCTCAGTCCTTGGATGTTGAGCAGAAAATACAATATGAAATGCAGTGCATCAAAAGTTATTGGTTAAAAACCAGTAGTGGCTCAGTTGCATAATAAAATCATCCTAGTTATAGAGCCTTCAGCAACTCAAGATGAAATATGGGATTTTATTGAAGTTACTCGCTACTAGCAAACTCAGCTGTGTTTTCTTCCTTTGTGCCCCATATGGCTGGAAACAGTTAAAGATATACCTTTCATCCTTCAGAAAGGAAAAAAAGTTGTCTTACACTTAATTTTACCATTGTCCCATCTAGCTCAGAACCACCATCATCATGGACTAGTAGAACTGGAAGAGGCCATGAAAGCTATCAAGGCCATGCTGTTGTAGGACACCAATTTACATCATCCCACTCAGATGGCTGTCCAGTTTTGCCTTGAATGTCCCTAGTGTGGGAGAACCCACCACCTCTCTAGGCAACTGTTTCCACTGTTGTATTGCTCTGACAGTGAGGAAACTTTTCCTGATATCTAGCCTGAATCTGGGTCACTGCAACTTGAGTTGAGTATTCTGTGTACTACACTCTGGCATCATCAAGAAGAGATCTTGACCTTCCTCTTTGTGGCAACCTTTGAAGTACTTATAGAGGGATATCATGTCCCCCCTCAGTCTTCTCTTCTCAAGGCTTGAACATGCCCATTTCTCTCAGTGTCTCCTCACAGGGCAGTGTTTCCAAATCCTGGATCATTTTTGTTGTCCTCCCTTCGACCCTTTCTAATTTTTCGGTGATTTAACTTTCTTAAATCTTGGTGCCCACAACTGGACACAGTATTCCAGGTGAGGTCTGACTGAACTTCTTTCAATCTGGGGACCAAACTCCATTGGGATTTCAGGGACAGGTTACAGAGGGATGTAGGGCTGGAGGCAAATGGTGTGGGGCTGAACACAAAAGAGGCAGGACCAAAAATATGAGGCACATCAGTAGGTGTTTAGCATAACGCCAGTAACTAAGCCTTAGGAGAGGCATTTTGACGTTTCAGGTTGGGGGGAAGTTTCACACAAGCTGGGAAATCACCAAAGGACCAGTGGATGGGGAAAAGGGGGTGGGGCCAGGAAAGGAGCCATGGTCTTCTGGGAAATCTAGGTGGGCCAGAGCAGACTGTGGTCTCAAGCAGATGGAACGTGTCCTCCAGACTGGAGGTTCTGCACCTCAGGACTACACTCATTGACTGTGGCTTTCCAGGTCTGAAGCAGGAGTCTTTCCCAGCCCTCCCTAGAGGTCCCAGGGATTGAACTGAGGACCTTTGCATGCAAAGCACATGCTCAGCTGCTGAGATGAAAGCTTCTATTTCTTTCCCTCCATTCCTCTCCTGCTTGTATTCATAAAGCCTCGGCTAATCTAATCAGACATGTACCTGCTTTTGCTTGCTCTCCTGTTGGGTGCTCTTTCATCTCCCCTCTTTCTCCTTCCCCTTGCTGTCACTCCTCCTCAACTTGTCTCTTTGCATATAACTCTTATTTTACTCTGAAAATGCAATGCACATCTTGAAAGCACTATAAATGATAAATAGCAGAAGTAATAGAACCCTCCCTGGGTGACAGATGTTCTTCCTTAAAAAAAATCTTTTTAAGCTTCATGTAGATTATTAAATTGAAATATGAATAGACCAAAAATAAGCATAAAATAAATTCAAAATGGAATAGAAGGATGTCATAGGTTTTAAGGGGTGGGGGGTGGGGAGAAACAAAGGTGAAACTTCACTCTCTAAAAAAAGATTCTTCCAGAAGTGATAAAATCATCCTCTGAATTGGCCTCTATGACAGAGATGGGCAGCTTGTAGACATGCAACTGTTTTGGCTTACAATTCCCATCAGGCCTCACTGTTTGCTATGCAGGCTAGAGCTGATAGCCCTTAGGTAGAGTTCTCTGTAAACTGTATCTTGGGTTTCTTGGAGCTGGAGTTGATGATGAGAGAGCAGTTGAATGAAAGAATTGATCTGTTCTACACTAACCTCTGGTCCATGGTTCTAGTACCATATGGCAGGTATGCTTTGATTTGCAAATTTAATTGTAATTCCTAAGCAGATAGTTAGTTTTCATAATCTGGCCAGGAGTCCAGGCAGGGCAACTAGAATGCATAGGTTCTGTTCTTTTATTTTGTGACCTCGCTGGTGCTGCCAACATCCTCCATCATCCCTGGTCAGCACCCTCTGCCTTGCATTCCTAACAAATGGGAAGAATCAACACGAGAGAGTATCTGGAATGCACTTGTAAGCTTTTAAAAAATAGTCTTGCGCAAGTCTATGGCTATGGAATTTGCATAAAGTCTTCTTCTGGTTTACCATGTTGCTATTAAATGTGTAGTTGAGCTCATACAGCTGCATGGCATACCTTGGAGCTGAGAGCCCTGAAACAAGACAGGCACTGACTTAAGCCCAGTTGGAGAAAAACTCCTAGAGGATGCAGTTGAACCCTGGTATGTGCACACAGTCAGATATATTCAGGGGCAGTGAGAGAGACAAAGAAACCTCTCTGCCTCTATCCAATGTGCAGTTTGCTTCCCAGGCCTGTGAGGTCTATTCCACACTGGCCCCAAGGATGTCTTAGTCCCATCTGACATCTGTGGCCAGATATTTGCTAGGCGCTTTCAGGAGAAGGTCTCTTGCATCTGTCAGGGCTCAGATTCCATGGGTGTAGCAGCTGAATCAGGGAAGTACCCAGTGCACAGCCTAGTCAAGTTTTCCTGTATGAGTTTCAGTTGGTACAATCCAACTGAATGTTGGTGGGATTCCTGTCTAGGTTTGTGCAACCACGTCCATATGGATCCTTGGCCCTCTTGGATTATAAAAACTATCGGGGAGGGAACAGCCAACTTGGCCAAAGGACTGATCATTGCCTCTTGGTCCAATACTACCTGAATCATTTGGTAGTGAGGCCACTTCTGAAGAAAGCCTATAGGATCTCAACAATTTTAGACCTGGTGGTAAATAATCCTTCCCTCGGCAAGGTGGCCAGCAAGTTCAGGCACTCTTGGATGAGTGACTATCTGGATCCATATTAATTGGGATCCAGGCTGGATTTTGGCTTGGAAACAGCTTGGGTTACTCTGTCTGCTGATCTATACTGGGAGAGAGATGGGGGATTTTTGACCCTGTTGATAGTCCTCAGGACCTTGGCAGCTTTCCGTGTTATCAACCAAGGTAAGCTCTTGGGGCAGCTGTCTGAGTTGGGGAGGGGGATACTGCACTGCAGTGGTTCTACTCCCATTTGGATGGTCAGCTTCAAAACCTGGTGCTTGAGCAGTAAGGCAACTCAGATTCTCTGGTATGGTCGGTCTTGTTTGCTGTGCTATTTCAACAGCTACATGAAACCACCGAATGGTTTTATCTGGAATTTTGAAGTGTGTTGCTGACATGCAGCTCTGTTTCTTCCATTCACCTTTATCAGGTGAGGCTGTGGATGAGCTAACCTGGTGTCTGGCAGCAAAATGGACAGGTTGAGGGTGAATGAACTGGAGCTCAAATCAGATGCTTCCAGTGAGTGGTTGTCCGGACCAGATAAAGGGCGTTCAACTTGCTCTGTAGGGGGCTGCACTCCCTTTGAAGGAGCAAGTCAATAGCTTAGAGCATTGATGGCAAACCTTTTATTCATTATTTATTTATTTAAAGCATTTCTATGCCGCCCCATTGCAACAAAGCCTTGGGGCAGCTCACAACACATAAATAAATACAGAAGTAATAAAACAAATAAATACTAAAATTATACAATAAATAACACCCCCCAGTGCATTCTCGGCTAAAAAAAAAAACTAGTTAATAAATACTTAACAGTTAAAATAAGTTTTAAATAAAAAGGTCTTAGCCTGGCGCCAAAAAACAAATAACGACGGCACCAGGCAGACCTCTCTGGGGAGCGCATTCCATAGATGGGGCGCCACCGCAGAGAAAGCCCTCCTCTGGGTGCTCACCCTCCTAATCTCATTCACAGAGGGTTCCTGGAGGAGGGCATCTGCTGCTGATCTCAAGGGGCGGGAGGGCATATATGGGTGCAAGCTTCCCTTTAGATAACCAGGTTTCAGCCTGGTTTCAGTAAACTATGCTCTGGTTATTTCTATTTTTAGAGACGGAGTGCCAAACTGCAAGCCAAACCCACTTATTTATCACAAAGTGCCAACACTGCAATAAAACCTAAATACTGAGCTTTTAGTTTAGAAAAAACACCTCACAGGCAGTCCAAGCAAATATATATATATATATATCCTTGGCAGCGCACTGACCGGCCATGCGAAAGCTCGGACGAGTTGTGGATAATGAGTCGTGGATAATGTCACGCCTGGTGCCACTACTCCTTCCCGAGCATGCGCATGCCCCCCATGCGTGCTGTTATCCTATGCTTGGCTTCTGGGGTGATGCTGGGGCGACTTGGCTCGCCTGCCGACAGAGGGGGCTCTGCATGCCCGCTGCAGCATGTGTGTCATAGGTTCGCCACCACTGGCTTGTGCTTCTCCTTGAGCCATCCTTGCCACTTGAGACTCAGGTGGCTTCAGTGCCGTGCGGGGGCTTCTGTCAGCTCTGGCTGGTGGCCCAGCTGCACCCCTCCCTGGACAGGAATCGCCTGGTTTCAGTAAACTATGCTCTGGTTATTTCTAAAGTAGGTTACTGCAATGCACTCTGTGTGGGGCAGCCTGTGAAGACTGCAGCTTGTCCAAAATGTGAGAGCGAGACTACCATCTCAGACCAGAAGGTCTGAACATATGACACCAATTTGGGGCTTTTTGCATTGCTTCTGAACCCAGTTCAAGGTGCTGGTCTTAACCTATAAAGCCCCATATGGGTCAGGACCACAAGACTTGATGGAATGCCTCTCCTGACCATTGTCTACTTGGACACTACGGTCAGCATCTGGGGCCTTCTTCTGATTGCTACCTCCAAGGGAGGGTCAGTTGGTGCAATGAGGAAAGGGGCCTTCTCAGTGGCAGCCCCCCAGTTATGGAACAAGCTCCTAGCTGTGGCCCACCTCCTGCCAAGTCTACTGTCCTTTCAGTTCTAGGTTAACAGTGCCTTACGTGCCATGGCATTTAACTGCTCTGACTGTATATGGGAGTATTATATCAGCTGCTTAACAGGTTTTATTGTTCTAACTTGCCCTAGCTATTTAAGTGGTTCAAATCCAGTCTTTAAATTAGGTTTTTAAATTCTACAGTGAAATGTTACAACATTTTAAAGTATTTTCTGCATTTTATTGCATTGTATGAGTTGCTGTAAACTGCGTAAAGAAGTTCAACTATTGTTCAGTTCTGTGCAGAAATAAAATAAATAGCTAAATAAACAATGTATTTTCTGATCCCATTTCCTCCTCTGTCTTGAAATTTTAATATTTTTACCTTGCAATCTATGCATCTTTGCTGATCCTCTTCACTCCCTGCTCTGCCTTGAAATTTCCCCATTGCTGTTCTGTAACCCATATGTATCTCTGACAGCTAAGAACAGGAGACCACTGGAGGACGTGACAAGCATGAATTTGGGGGAAAGAGCTGAAAGCAGCTGGCAGCTGCAGAGAAGGCACAGGGTGTGGAATTGCTCTGTAGGTGAAGCAGCACCTTTCTCAAAAAGGGTGATCAGTGGCAAGGCAAACCAGAGACGTGGAGGATGAAATTGACAAGGACACTGACAAGAAGGGAGTATCTCTTAGACAGGCAGCATTGCACTTCTGTGCACTCACTCAAGACTCTGAATAAAATAGATAAATGCAACATTCACAAACACACAACTGTATTCATATGGATTCTGAAAATTATATTCATTTGACCATTTGATGCAGAAGCTGGTGAATTTCCTTCCTGAGCCAGCATCTCCAGGGCCCCATTGCAGAAAGGGTGCTAAGACAGGGAACAAAACAAGAAATTCTGCTGCAGGGGTGTCTGGGATCTGTGCCAGGGGCAGGCGGGGGTCTGATGGGGAAACCATCCATGGCAAACTGCAGTGCATCTGATCATCTGTTAGGAGTACTCTGGGTTATCAAGCAAACAGCCAACCCATGGCGGATCGATGCGACATTTGGACTTATCCAATATCTGCTTTTGAAAGCCCTGAGTTTCAGAAGTACTTGAATGTATGGCATGGGGACTGCTGCTTGAGATACAGCAGCCTAATTTTCCTGGGTTCTTGGAACTAGTTGTAAGAAACAACCCAACTCCCTCTCCTCTCCTCTCCTCTCCTCTCCTCTCCTCTCCTCTTCTCAGCCTGGGCACATGAAAATCTCTCTCTCTCTCTCTCTCTCTCTCTCTCTCTCTCTCTCTCTCTCTCTCTCTCTCAATCTCTCGATCTGTGTGTGTGTGTGTGCGCGCACGCATATTTATGCATTTTTTGAAAGCTGCCTCTTTTCAATTTCCTAGGGAATCTAAAATTTCTTCTAGTGAAAAGATGAGGATTGGTGGAAGTGATGAAGCTGCCTGGATGCAGATATGTGAGCCAACAGAAAAGGACAAAGGGCATTATACCTTTGAGGTGTTTGATGGCAAGCAGGCCCACAAGCGGACAATTGATCTATCTGGACAAGGTACGACTCTTTAGCCAAGCTGCAGTATGTATCTCACTGTACTTAGGGGCCACCTTAGAGGAAAGAAATTTCCTCATTTACGGTTTGCTTAATAATAAACATGGATCTTTTTCTTGGAATGTTCATGGCACGAGATCAGCCTCATTCATCCTTTGTCGCTTCTCCTCAGGGCTGACCTTCATCCCTGTTTTTAGCTGTGTTTGAAGTGTCTCTGCCATGTGGCAGGTTATTATTTTTTAATAACAACTAAAAAAACAAAACTGCTACCAACCAAATATATGTTGATGCTGATTCCAAAGGCTTGTTTTCTAATACATTAAAATACTTCATTGCAGCCTATGAAGACGCCTATGCAGAATTCCAGCGACTCAAGTAAGTCTTATGATTTTTAAACTTAGACTGCAATGACCTTAGCTTTGTTGTCAGAGTCATTGTAACATGATATTTTCTATTTCTTTTTCTCCCACTATAGGGCAGCTGCTTTTGCTGAGAAGAGTAAGTAAATTCTTTATTCATTATAAGGGAGTGTTATAATAATTTTAATTAAGACCAGGACCTTCAATAGTCCAAAATCTAATAACAATAAACCTCCATTTCTCCTGGTTCCTCTCCTTCAGATCACTAACATGTCCTAAGTTCTGTGTTTTACATGTTAAAATCAATGCATCTCTTTATGTTACTGTCTGAAAAGAACTGCAGCCAGACCTAGAGGGTATTTATGCTAAATGGAATGACGGAACTTAAATCAACAATAAAACCATCACAAAAGGAAGCCACACTTGAAAGTATAATGACCCCTACCTTATGTTTCTGTCAGGTTCATCCAACTCTGTGAGAGTACAGTGTTTCTCCCCCTTTTTTCCAGTTAAGCAAACTGGTGTCGACTGCTGAATCTTGGTCAGAGTTTGACTATCTATGAAGCACAACAAAAATGGAGGAATAATACATTGATTTGACTTGCACCCCTCCTTTCTACCCTTTCACTCATAACAGACACTCGGCAGCTGACACACACAATTTGAGACTGGTTAACACAACACAACAATGCATTAAAATACAGTAGCAACCACAGAATAAAAGCAGCATTTAACTCTGCAAGCCTGTGTACAGGCAAAAGCCCTTCTTGCATAAGGCCTGCTTCTGCCCACTGGTGGAAGCATAGCAGAGAGGAAGCACAGCTGGCCTTTCCTGGGAGCGGCCTTCAAAAGGGACCTCACTCTTCTTGCCACCAAATGTGCCTCTGAAGGTGGTGGGCTCTGCAGATGTTCTTACAGACTGAGTCAGTTTGTGTGGAAAGGTGTTCTTTCAGATCCTTTCTCAGGTGCTCCAGGTGAGAGAAAGGTTGAGGGAAAGTACACCCCAAAGTGAGGCTGCATGTCTGGTCTTAGGGAAAGCTCACATCCTCCAAGTTCAATCTGAGACATGTTTGGTGGCTCCCTGGGGTCAGTAAATATCTGGGTCCACAAAACGGGAGAGGCTTGTCAACCTGCCCTGCTTGGTTCGGACAACCTTGAGCAGCGAGTTGGCAGATGCAAGTACAACAGGAAGGGAAGCAGGTGTCCAGCAAAGGGCTTGCATCTCAGAGATTACCTTAACTTGGGTTTTAAAAGATAACAGAATCACCTCTGCAGGTAAGTAGGAATAGCTGACTAGAGATAAAGGATGACAGATTATGCATTGACAGTGGTGAGGAATCTGAGTGATGCAGGAGAATGAGGTGATAATATAGTTAGGAGGACTGTCTGTCATTCACAACACAGATTATAAGTCTGGTACCCTGAAACCTGAGCCTAAACATCCTTCTTTATGACTTCCCTGTAATAGGCTTAGAACGGCAGCCTAGCACTCCAGCTTCCAGGGGAATATCTTAGTTCATCATATTGTGCTATGACTGCTCTAAACCATTATGTTGACATTATGATGACAGAAGCGAGTCATTTCATATTTCCTCTGGCAATCATTTCACCTGAAACGGTCAGCTCAGGTAGTTGCCTAATGCATATGCAGGGCAGCCAAACCCACCAATGCAAACTAGGCAGCCTCCCAAGATGAGACATTTCGTGTTTTGCAGAAATGAACTGCAGCTTGCATTTTAAAATGTATCTGCTTTGCAGTGCCTGCTTAAAGGGTAAAGTGGGTTTCTCAAAACAGGTATTTAGTCCAGACTAACAAAACTGTGGAATACAATAGTATAATAGTTAATTAAATTAAAAAGAGATGCCATCATAATAATCCAAGTCAACTCTCGGCCATTTAATGTGGTGTAGTTATGCTGCTCAGTCTGTTCTCTCACAACTTTTAATTCACCTGGACCACCAAGAGCCAACAACAACCCAAATTTCTATCTAGATCTGTATATATAGCTATAAATAGCCACCTGGGGCAGTTGAGTTAGGCAAAGTAGAATCCTTTGATTTTCCAAAGTGCTTGAACATGTAGAAATGGTTTAGCATTTCTAGGAGAAAATTGGAATGTTGACCCTGTTTTTCCTAGCAGGCTTTTCCAGCTCATAAGCCTGACCAGGGAATGGCAGTGTGTGAGCAGCAGCACATGTGGTGGATCTGCTTTGCACATCCCAGTGTGTGTTGCCCCCACCCTGTGATTTGTCCCCCTGTGGTGTTGAGCGGCAAGGGCTGAAGAGGGGTTCTACTCATGTCCATTTATATGTGAGTAGAACTCTCCATGCACCTGGGGACCCTGCCCTTCACAGGACCAGAGTTCAACCAGAAAGTTGTGCCAAATTAGCACAAATTCCTTTGCCTTCCAGTGCATTAAAGCTTGCTTGTTTCCCACTTCAGAAACTTCTTATGGAGTTTTGGTGCACATAGAAATGTAATAATAATAATAATAATAATAATAATAATAATAATAATAATAATAATAAGTATAAGTCTTCATATGGAAAGCTTTGAGAAAGCAGGAGGTATAAAGATGCTGTGCTATGTAATAATCTGAAATATACAAGCTCCAGCTGACATGGCATGCAAAGATTTCCCATTTTGTATATTCTCTAAATGTTAGGAGTTAGTCCAGGGTTCTTTGTCCCATCATTTCAACCAGACAAGTGGCAGGATGGAGGGCACCTGCACTAGCTCAAGATTCTGCATGCTTATTCTTCCATAGGCAATATGTATTAACAGTCACTTAATTGCTTTGTGTTCATAGATCGTGGTAAAGTGCTTGGTGGTTTGCCTGATGTCGTGACCATAATGGAAGGGAAGGTAAGGATGAAACACATTGTCTGGGTATCCTAGACTCACACATCAAAACAGATTCTTTTAAGCAGTAACTTGTAAAGTGCATTAGCATTACAAGGGTCTTATGAAAAGAGATTAATCCCCCTAGTTGTTTTTAAAGCCAGGCATTTATTTGAGTCAGCCCACTGCAAGGGTATTGCTGTTACAGGCAGCAATACTTTTTCGCAGGGATGGGTAACTTGTGGCCCTCCAGAGGTTTTTGTCCGCATCTCCCATCAGCCTCACCATTGGCTATGCTTGCCAGGGATGAAGTGAACTGCAGGCCAAACATCTGGAGGGCGACAAGTTGTCTGCTCCTGCTCTGCACTCTTGCTGGAGCAAGTATTTAGAGCAGAAATGTATAGGATTGCACTGTAAATGTGCCCAACATCCACATTAGCTCCCATGAAAAGGCAGCCAAAGAAGAGCAAGTCAAGCTAAGAGATGGATGGATTCCGTAAAGGAAGCCACAGCCTTGAATTGATAAGAGCAAAGCTGTCATGGATGGGACATTTTGGAGGGCTTTCATTCATGGGGTCGCCATAAGTTGGAAATGACTTGACATAGCAGCAGACAAAAGGGGCGAAAGAGTGTGTAGGCAGTGCACAATAATAAAAATTCAATGGGACAGTGGCAGACCAAGGTGCAGGAACATATAAAATAGTAAAAGTGGAGAAACATAGAGCCTGATAATTTTGATTTTAACAATCATTTTGACCATTGTGGGAGTTAAATAAGGCTGAGCTATAGCAAAATACCTGAGACAAAACACCAATACAAGTAACTCAATGAAGACATCTGAGATGGTCTGAAGATATCCCCTGAGGTTTCTGTCTCTGTAGGAACTTGTTTGCTCATTAATACCAAGTGCTATGAAGGCTGATTGTGCCGGGAACACCCAACCAGGTAGCAGTTCCAGGAAGTGAGCCATACCATTCACAGGGTGAAAGCGAGAGAGCGAGAGCTGATTTTTAACTTGACCACCACTTTATGGGTTACAGCTTGGAGCCTGATATGGTACAGGGAAGGATCCTCAACTTGGCAGTTTGCCTGCTGTCCAGTCCACATGCCAGGCCATGTGTTGGGTGGCCCTTTAAAGAGTGAGGTTATCTCGAAGCATGGGTGGATCCTGACACAGTGATTGCCCTTTCTATGGTCCCTGCATCCTTGGGCATGCGGTCAATACCCAGCACTTGAGCTTGGGTGTAGATCGGGATCTCTAAGGAATCTGCTTCGAGGGTTCGAATCTGTCAGATGTCTTTGGTTCCTTTACCTGCAGCCTCATGGCTGTGAGTCTGGCTTGATGCCAAGCATTCATGTGGGCACCCACCAGAAATTGAGCCCATGTGGATGCTCTGCAAGTAGCATTCCTCTTCCAGGCACATGACTTTAAGTCCCTGTTGCTCCTGCACATGGTGTGGACGGAGGTTGTTGGTTGCTCAGCTGGAATTCTGAGAGTATTCATAGACTTCCCCTTGGCTCAGCTTACTTCCTAAGTCAGGGCTGAGCACAAGAAGAAACCTGGCAAACAGAAGAGAGCTGGATCTCGAGAGGATTGCCATGGCCTTAAGTGCTGCTCTCTGGCTCCACCCCCAGGAACCGTCCCCGCTCTCGTTCAGTTGAATTTGGATCCAGCACACTGCCACCCAGTGCTTGGGTCCTAAGAAAGGTTAATGGAGGAAAAGTGTCCCATCCCCTTATAGCATCCCTGAACCCTCTGAAAAGCATATTCAGAGAGCCAAGGGGTCCTCTTAGGTAACATGCAGTGTGGCACCAGGGGCTCTGGGGGAGCTGCCCCCCAAAAGGCAGAAGCACCAGTCTGATAATGGCCAATTTTCCCATTCTCCCAATAGTCTCATCCCATATTGTTCAGGAGGATCCCAAGCATGGAGGAAAAACGTCCCTTCCATGACCTTCCTTGGTTCCCTTACCTTAGGATCAAACTCAATGTTTCTGATGAGAATAAGCTTGGAAGGGAAGGGAAGGGAAGCCAGAAGAAGAAAATATTACACAAGGAACTAGTGCCTAATATGGTCATTTCTGGTTTTTATTTTCAGACTCTGAATCTGACCTGCACTGTGTTTGGCAATCCTGACCCTGAGGTGCTCTGGTTTAAGAATGACAAGGAACTTGAACTGAATGACCACTATGTAGTTAAACTGGAGCAAGGAAAGTATGTCAGTTTGGTCATCAAGGGGGTGGCATCAGAGGACTCAGGAAAGTACAGCATCAATGTCAAGAATAAGTATGGTGGTGAGATGGTGGATGTCACTGTAAGTGTGTACAAACACGGAGAAGAAATGCCTGAGATTAAACCTACTGCTGCTGGTAAAGCAAGGCCAATACCTCCAGAAGCAGTTTGAAAATGCAACAAGCAGGATAAAAGCGGGGGAAGTGGCAGGCTGTAGACCCAGAAGGGTTGTGCTTGATAGACGAAAGGCTAGAGAGAAGCTGTAGCTGTTCCGTAGTGTTTTTTGCAGTAGGTAACTGGCAATTGTCTAAGGAGAAGTTAAGCTTTTTGAAGTGTGCATGACAGTCTTGCTTGTCTAACAGTACCATCAACAGTACCATCCCCATATGCAATTTCATCATTTTGTACAGAAATGTTATGTGGTTCTTGCCAACAACAAAAGGCCCTTACAGTGGCAGCTGTCATTAACTTATATTCAGATCATTATTATATCCATGGGATGCAACTCTCCATATTGCAACTGAAATAACAGACTGTTTAGTTTTATGTAAGGCATCTCACTTCTTTATCTGAGCTGTGCCCTCAGTGCTTTTGTAAAACCCCACTGCACTTGAGTGGACTGCAGAGATGTAAACACATTCAAGACTGCAGCTTCAAATAAATCAGGTGAGCTGAAAAATGACCTTCTAAAGTTATCCTTTGTGGCATCTCTATTTTGTAGTGCAAGCTCATCTTCAGTAGTATTTTACAATCACCATGGACTCATTTAAACCATAAGTTTCCCAGTTGTTTGTTTGTTTTCCCCCTGCTTTGTGCTAATAAAAACTTTAAAAGTCACCTTGTGTTTCTCTCTGCACCAAATTACACTTAACTAGTTCCGTTTACTCTTTTTCACTGTTTAATTATTGCTTATTGCACAATTTCACAGATGGTAGCATGCAGACAATGGACTTATAATAAAGAAAACAAATTATGGTTAATCATAGTCACTCCATGCCACTTACTACATTAATTTTACACTTTATGGCACAGTCAGCAAGCAGTTAGGAAGTAGTGTCAGGAGACCCCTGTGCCATTTGGTAGCTTCCTAGGATAATTACACATCCAAGTTGGGTCTTATCCCAGGAAGGCAAAATAAAAACTCTCTTTATGGTGTTGAGGCTGGCCTTAAGCTCAATCCAGCAAATGTTTTACTGCTTGCAGGTGCATCGCTCCATGGTGGGATTGCTCAGGCATTTTGTGGCAGGTAGGTAGAAAGGAGCTGATGTACTCTTTCGTGTGGCTGTCATTCAGGTGGCCCAATCAACCTGCAACTTCTTCCTATCTGGCCAGCAGAGAATTACCTTGCTGGTGTCAGTTCTAGACTCCACTCTCTCCTTGCAGATCCCACCTAAGTTAGAAATGATTGGATGTATGCTGAACCCAACAGAGTCTGGATTCATCTATTGTCCTCAAATCTGGATCATTTCTTAAGCCAGAGGTACCAATTAGAGCATCCCAGAAGGGAACATTGTTGGAACTAACCTAATTAACACATGATCTTTTTTGTGTCTTTCGTCATACAAGGAGATTATTTCTGGACAGAGAAATGATGTTCCTTCTGAAGTGCTGAGTAACTAGTGCACAAAAAGCACTGCACTTGCATTTACAACACAACAAAAATCATATCATTTGCATTGGTTCAGGCCCATATTAGCACAGATGTGACACCGAAGGTCATTTAATTCACTATCTTCATAAGAAAAGGAAGCACATTATTTTTCTTCAATGTTTTTACTCGAAAGTTTCTCATATTTTACATGTTGATCCTTATAGTTCTGTAAACTGTCTATTTTGAGCCAAAATGTAGTGAAGGATATAAATAAAGTCATCCCTCTCTCAAGTTTACTACCTCCCTTGGAGGTAGTTCAGAGGTATGATGAATGTCAAACTTCATAATTTCTGGGCTCAGAGCAGCTCCAAATGCTTGCCTTCATGGCCCTAAAAGTTCTATGTCTTGAATTATAAGCTGATCTAAAAATAAAATAAAACCCTCCCTGTTCTCTTCTCCCTAACTAATCTTGTGGCAGACCTAGGGTGGTAACAAGCAGAGCTGTCTGAAAGCATTTTGCTGTCTGGGGAAAAGAACACGATGGTGCTCCCCCACTTTCCATGTACACAAGCCATCAGTACTTGAATCTTACTTTAGTACTAGGGATGGGATAGCATCCTTCATCCCACCTGAAGGCAACAGGCTAGTTTAGGGAGCCATGTTCTCACCTCCAACACCTTCTAAGGTGGCTCTCTCATTCTGCCTAGTGGTCCGGCCAGGTTTCTGGAGAACCTTCTTGTCTCCTCTTCCTAGAATGCCACAGCAGCAGTGTCCTGGATGCCAGGTAGCCTAGGAATTTCAGGGCTTTTTCACCGAGTCCTTGAGATGCCAGAGGATGAAGGGCAGGTACCCTGGGCCTCCTAAGGAAGGCTTGCCATTGCCCCTGTTTTGCTGCTTGAGAAAGGCAGGCGAAAGGAAGGGGTGTGGGGTGGGGGTTAGGCATGCCCATTGTTCATGAGATGTTGGAGGAAATCGCTCAAAAACACCATCACTGAATGATATCCCCGAATCAGATCTTCAAATTTACAATGGGGGATTAAAGCAAAATCCACAGTATTTTCTAACTCCAGGGGCATATAAGGTTTGTTGGCTTGCTGAAGTCAATTGTGTATTGAGCAAACAGGGAAATTCGTACACTACATTACTAGATTCAGCTGGGAACTTCTCACAGCACACAAAACAGCTAACCTTTCTCTGTCTCCCTCTCTGTGTGTTTCTTTTACACTGCATAGGTTATATTTAGAAGAGAACCAGATTATTGTATGTTATGGCAGCTTTTTGGAAGTGTCCTTGGGCACTGCAGTCAAGGTTAGACTCATCTCAGCTATGCCTTTAGCTGGCCCATTTTAGCTAACTAAGCTCCATCCACTTCCTTTCAGGTAGAGGGGGAAGAATTTATGGTGACATTTAATCCTTTGCTGAAGTAGAGAAATTAGCACTAGCTGGAACACTGTTTTTAAAAGGCTGAAGATTTGTAATAAGCACTTACATTTTTTCACTAGCAAAGGTAGCAGTTTTTACTTTATATGGATTTTTAAAGGATTTTGTACAAGTAACAGGCACTGACACACTGAAATTTTCCAGTCTGAGATATGGGATGTATGCATATGGAAGCAGCCATTACTGCATAGATCCTTCTCTGGAGAGGAGCTAGTGCATGAAAATGGGCACAGCACTTCAGTTTCCCTTCCCAGTCTGACCGTTGGGACAGCACATGCTTTGGGTTCGGTCTTCCCCCTCCTTATCCACCAAGTGGTTTATGTTTTAGGCTACAAACAGCATGACAAGCGATCTTGTATGGTATTGGGAATGAAAGGGGAAGTTGCTCTTGGCACATGTTCCAAGGTTAGGCAGATTTGGAGTCAGATGAGGAGGAGAAGGAGCAGCCCTGGGAACCAGCACTCCCAGACACTGTGAGGGGAGAAGCGGAGTGGCTTACCTCAAGGCCGCCTCCTCCAGGTGGACTCTGAGAATAGTCAGCTCCCACAACTGCCGGGAGGGGGCATGGGATACGAGCTCCAGGAGCCAGCTAAGCCTGGTATGACTCTTGACCCCATGATGTGGTGATGGGAGAGAAGGGCTAGCCAACTAAAGGGGCGGTGTACAGAGAAGAGGCTCGCCCACCTCCAAAATGGTCCTCCCAGAGGTACTCAGAAGGAGGGTTCTGGGAAGTAGTTGCTAGACTGTTCAAAGAACTGCTCTGTGCATGCTCAGAGACTTGTTGTGTGGTGATTGTGCTTACTGGAGGTACATGCATGGAAACATGCCAGAAAAACAAAAAACAAAACAAAAAACCACCCCACACATATTCTCCCTTTCCATTATTTATACTCCAAGAAACAAACACTTATTTAAAACTCCATCATAAAACACAGATAATCACATCAAGCAATCACATCAAAAAGTCTCACAGTTAAACTGACTGGACATGATTGTTTAGTTACTGGGAACTTCCCAGTGCATTCAGTTGTGCTTACATCTGACCACAAGGTTCAGCTTGAAAAACATGTGCAGCCAGTTGAAATGCAACCTTTTCACTGCTAATTATAAAGGCAAGCAACCTTGCAATGAAGTATAATCATGTAAACTGCTAGCCAGAAGCAGGAGCTTCATCAAAGAGAAGGAAAGAAGTATTCAGCCACTACTTTTTGTAAGCCGCCCTGAGATGCTTTTGCACATAGGGCGGGATATAAATATTTTAATAAATAATATAAATTAAAAAAATACTTGATCATTTGCAGCCTTCTCTGCTCAGCAGTCTCAAGCAACAACAAAACTTGAAATGCTTGTGATTGTCTCATTCATTTGCCATGGCAAGGAAGGTCTGTCAAATTCTTAGTGCTCTGAGAGATGGGGCAAACACGCCTGCTTTTGGGGGTGAGGGGAAGGGTCCTGGACCTGTGCTCCCCTGCATTCCCCTCCACTACCCAACTGGGAAGCTGAGAGAAAGGATAGGAAGATGTGTTTAGAAGAACAAATCCAAGTGGAGACAAGCCCTGACCTTGAACCAAGGTCCTCCTAAACTGTTGCAGGCCATTAGGAAGAAGAAAAATAAAGATCGACATGCCTAGCACATGGGGGAGCTGGGAAAAAAACCTTTTGACTATGGAGAAAGCAGCCAGATAGAAAGGAGTGGCTGATGAACAACCACTGGCTGTGCTTTCTAAGATATGAAGCTCAACCGGACTGCTGTGACGTTTGAGATCACAGCTGCACGCGCAGAACAGTTGGATACATGAAGTCTTTGATGACACGATCCCCACATTGAGTTTTGATTAGAATGCAGGTACTCAGGTTGAATGAGGGACCCACGCCTGCGTTTATCAGCTGCGTTCAATAGCTGTTGTCAGCACTTTGGGTGTGTGTCTGACTTACTTCCCCCCACGCCAGAGCTCCTTACAAAGTGCTCTCTGGGCTTAATGGGGGACTTTTTTATGAGACCGATGCACTGGTTTGCTATTAAGCTCCATGTCGGATGCTTTCCTGTTGTGCTTTCCTAGGCAACTGCAGCCTGAAAGAGAGCATAGCTGGCTGGTCAGTGAGTTACGCCGATGAGAGTGAGGCCGCCCCATGTTGGCGGGCCCAGGTGAGGCTTGCTTTCCTCCAATCACCTGCTCTATTTATGTCATCTTCGATTTGTTCACTCCTGATATGCTTAAAACAAGCTCTGTGCCTTTTTCTCAAAAGGGCAATGCACAGGGCTTTCTTAAAAATAGATGCAAGATTTCTTGTGATTTGATTG